GCATCTCTTTTGTTGTATATGGAACAGGAAACATTGACCAGAACTGTGCTTAAGTGAAAAAAAAAAATCTGAATTTTATTCATGACCCACCACCACCCATTGAATTGTAGGAAAAGATAAAGTGTAATTATGGTTTTGATACCAGAAACTCATCAGCTTCATGCTCTGTGCTGATAAGTCCTACAGTATGTACTATTAACTAGTCTAGTGGGCTTTGTCGATCTCCCCTGGCGGCCGTTGGGGCTCCAGTGGTTTCCTTCCGGAAGCCCAGTCCTGTGGTCATCTGCTGAGTGGAGCCACTATTCTGTGTCGTGGATCAAAGACGGAAGTCTTGTGAATCACTTACCGTCAAATCAGATGGGAAATCCACAGATGATTCACAGAGATGAGTGACTTTGAGAAACTGACTTTTTAACAAGCCTCTCCGGTGTGCTCTGTGCCCTCACCCACTCATTCACTTACTCCAAAAGTGAAATTAAAATGAAACAGAAAAGGGTCACAGAGCAGCAGCAGCAGCAGCAGAGTTAAAAGAGTGAACCAGAAAAGGCTTTACTGAGCAGACCTGGAAGACTTCAATACAAATTCCATCAACTGACCATCTATTTCCAATGTGTGCGATCGCTCAGTGGATTTTTACTTCATGTTTGCTCTCATACCCGAGGCTTTGTGAAGACGTATGCATGTCATTACAGGGCCCTGCAAATGGAAACTGTGTGCTTTGATATTCCCTCTTGCAGGCAAACCAAGTCTTGCCTCTCTCTGTTCCCTTTGCACAAATGTTTTCCATTGTGGCATGTTGTCTTCATTTGTTGGACTGAACAATCAGTCGATCTTCAAGTTATTTGCTTAAGCTGCTCTGCCAGAGTAATGTTTTTTATTCCTGGGTCAGGGAACTTTTTTCAGTGTGTCATAGAGGGTTATGATAATTACCCATTTTCCATTTGGACAGTTGACATGTTTATCGTACTGAGTGTCCATCTGCCCCTTTCATCCCTGTTTTGCATTATGGAAATCTTTTCAATATACCTCCATGGACATGCACTTTAGAAATGAGATTAACTAATCACAGTGGTCTCTAGGAAATTAAAGAATCCCCTGACACCAATTAATTTAGCATAGGTAGATTTGACAATAAATTCATTTCAAGTTTAACAATTTACTTTAAAAGCTACAAAATGTCTGTCTGTGTGACATTTTGTTGACACAGTTTTAGTGAGTGAGGTTTTTTTTTCAGGATGCAGGGGTCATGTCTTTCTCGTGCACAGTTTTGTGACATTAATCTGAACCCTCTTGCTTGTTCCTGACTCTTACTGATGAGCACTGCCGGTCAGTAGCAGTGCTTAACCCAGTAAAATGACCGTTACCAGCCCAGTTCACAGAGATTTAAGACTTCCCCTGTTTTCTCTGCACTGAATGGCAAATGTTCCTCTGTATTCATTAAGCTGTGCAGAGAATTGATTACCACCACTGCTAAAGAAAATGTCACATTACACAAAGAGATGTGGGCCTAAATATTAGAATTGATATTTTCATGATAAAATGTGTCTGCATGGTGAAAAATATGCTGCCAAATCAACATCTTAACTCATGCAAGCTCACAGGGCAGTATGTAAGGGTGGTAGTGAAAGGCTGCTGGCAGCAGCACCTGCAGTAGTAGTAGTCGGCTGACTGCAGATGTATATTTTGACTAGGGAGCCCCCCTCCCAGTCATCTGCAGAGGATCTCCTTTCGGTGGAGCCATTGGGAGCCACACTTACTACACCAGCTTTCTGTTGCACTGTCATGAACAATACCAGTAAATCTGAGAAAACACCATCAGCATATGAAACTTGTCACAGGCCGTGCTCGACTCAAACCTCTCTTTCACTTCTGGATCATTGATGTGTGGAGTTCCAGCTTAAATTGAGTGATTGTATCTGAAGCATAGATTGACACTGATCTGGGAAAACTAACCTTCTGTGTAATGGAAAATATTATATATTATTGTATATATTATTTTTATTTTTTATTTATCAATTGAACTTTTTATAGGTTTACATTTTTTTTGTTTTCCTTTAGAAAGAATCTTTTGTAGATTACTGAAGTTTAATTTGTGCTTTATATTACGTGCCAAATTTTATCATAAAATTGATTCTTTTCTCAGTAGGTTGTTGACATCCTCTCAGATGGAAAACAACAACGACTATGTGACATAAACGTTCCGAGGCGCTGTCTCCTCCTTTGCATTTTAAGTCTGTTCTGAGACTGAGATGGAAATTCTCTTCCAACAATAAGCACAACTTTTTTCAAACGGCCAACCAAATCAGTTTGTCTGACTTTATACATCGAGTGCAGCTGTAATATCGAGAGTGACGCCTCAAAATGAATCAAATAGAGAGGAATAACTCTAAAGTTGCACTTGAGTCACAGGTTTTTAGGTCATTTTATGCTAATTGCTCTCAGCGCGTCTCTCCTGAGTTAAATTATCAGTCAATATGTTAATGTTTGCCCCTGCAACAATCTAATCGGTACAGCGGAAAGTGATATGTTTTTGCAGACGCCCACTTAATGTCGGTCTGTCGCAGTTCACACTACTTTGCTCATATTACTGCAGTGTTGGAGCAGATTCACTCCCATAAATTAACTGCACTACAGAGTTTACCACATAAGAGTTCAGATGTGCAGCCGGCTTATGATAGGCCTGAAAATATTGCCCTGTGATTGATCCAGCAGTTTAAGTTATAAGTGTTGAAATTACAGCCTTTTATTTTGAAAGTTAAGTGTAATCCCATTTAAGGTCTTTTCTACATTTGTTCTGTGTCAACAGTGTTAGGGGTGAAATATAAAACATTTCTCATCTAAATTTCACTAAGCCAGTGTTGAGGTTGGACAACAGAAGCACAGTGACTAGCTTTTTTCATGTTATCGATACAGCTGCTGTGCTGTGCCAGTGGTCCTTTAACACTTGTAAGATGCTGTTTATTTTGAGCACAGTTGCACGCTTGTCTTTTGAAAGGTCATGCCCTTTAAAGGAGATGTGTAGTCCTCCATCACCGTTTTATTTCACCAATGGATTCGTCTGACAAATCGATAAACTGGCCAACTTGTTGTATATTATACCTCAGCCTTCTATATACAAAGGTAAATGTTTGCTTTGATAGTCACAGTCTAGTCTCATAAGTGCGTGGTGGTGCTGTAAGTGTGACTGTGTGTGTGTGTGTGTGTGTGTGTGTGTGTGTGTGTGTGTGTGTGTGTGTGTGTGTGTGTGTGTGTGTGTGTGTGTGTGTGTGTGTGTGTGTGAGAATATGGTTGACATGGGAAAGGAAGAGCCTCCCACGCTAACAGGATGATGTGAGTGATGGTGGCCAGACACAAAAGCAAGTAGCAGAAAACACAAATAAAACAACAGAATTAACACTGAAGCACAGTTATATTAAAACTCTTGGTCCTGTGAACGATATAATGTAAAATGAATGAGGTGTTTAATGGAGGACGTGTAGTTAATAAACGTGAAACACGCACTCTAGTCGGAGGAAGAGCTGGTGAAATAGTGAAACAGATAGGAAAGTAAGATTTTAAATGTAAAGATTACATTGATGATTGTATTGTATTGATGTAATATGTTTTACTAAACTGATGGAGGTTGTAGTAACATTTTTATTGAAGGCATTTGTTTCGCAGATGTATAGTTTAGTGTCCTCTGTGTGTGTCATCAAATTTAAATACAGTTTCTTTTCTCTCATGAAACAGAGATGGCTGGGTTCATTTGCTCGTCATCGCTGACTGAGTCACCCCCCCTGCCATTTTTTTAAAAAAAAACTGACTTACAGTAAAACATTTGTTTATTATTGCCTGTGGTATGTGTGAAAGCACAGTTGCACAAATGGACAGAGATGGGTGGTGAGTAAACAAGCTTCGTTTTCACTGTCATGTACTCATGTACTGACAGGTCTGCTTGTAAATCGCCCAGTGTCAAACTGGGCCAGAGGGCTCTGCTGCACCCCCTCCAAACCAGTTTGCCTAGCCTGATTTCTGTGCTCCTTGTCTCTGACCAGTCATCATCACCTTTAAAACACTTCAGAGAAATCACACAAAGAGGCCTCAGGACAAAAACTACAGACACATATTGTTATAATAGAAAAAACATTCACATCATATTTTCCATTAATTCCCAACAAACCAAAGTTCTCTCTCTCTCCCTCTCTCTCTCCCTCTCTCTCCCCCTCTCCCTCTCCCTCTCTCTCTCTGTCCTTTCTGTCCTCTCTGTGTCTTTCCTCACCACGTCAAAGTATCTGAAGTTGATTTACATCACGGCTGCAGTTTTTACAAGCTCCCTGCTGTGTCTCTTGTGGTGTCAGTGTAAATACTGAATGGAGGCTGCAGATGTAAAACAATCACGCACGCTGGCTGAAAAAGATAAAATAAAAAAACAGGCAACAGCACAGAGAAAAAGTTATCTGTTATTTATTTAAAATCAGGTTCGGGAGTAATTAACCTTGCTGTGCCTGAGTGCCTCTCTGGGCTCAACAACGTGTTTTTTTTAATAATGGTTTGGTTTTACAAACCCCATGAACAGGCCTGAGGAAATGAACTGAACCACCATTAAAGCTCTAATGAAGTAACGGACTGCCCCCGCTGGCTGGCCGGTGTTTACAGGAGTCAGTGTGCTGTGGTAACTGGTAACGTTTCTTGGACTCTAACAAAGGTCAGACCTGGCACATTTAGTGAATGGAATAGTTTCTCTCATTTGTTCTGTCAGGAGTTATTATATCTCACGTCAAAGCCATGACTTTGTGACCTTTGGGTTTGTCAGTCTGTCTGAGTTTTTCCACTTTGAGCTCTTGGCTGTTTGAGTTAAAGCTTTCAGTCTTGTGAGAAACTCGGTGTGGAACAACACTGCCCTCTGCTGGAAAGAAACGTAGTGGACACAAAGTGAAATGTGCTGCCACAAAGCAAACAGAAGTCAATTCTAAATATTAATAAGTGTTTTTTTTTGTGTGTGTTTGTTTCTCTCTTCATAGTGAATGAAATCATCGGCAGAGACATGTCCCAGTCCCCCAGCGCCCACGGTCCTCCTTCAGCACACAGCCAGTCATAGCCCTCAGGCCCCCAGCTCGGCCTTTTGGCTCATGAACCATCCCCTCCAGCACTTAACCCCGCAGCCCCACAGCTCTAACATGGACCCTGCTCCTGGCCAAGGTCCTGGTCCTGTGTGCGATGGGACAAGAGAACAGAAGGAGACAAGACTTTGGTCAAAGACAGAAAACGGTTGGAGAACTTGTTAAAGCCTCATGGGCCTGCTAGACCACCAGCCTGACAAGAAGACACTCTCATTTGTCTCATCTGATTTCATTTAAAACGATACAGTTTAGAGATATAGACAAAGAACTCACAACTCAGATTAAACAGAAAGGTGAGCAGGAGAATGCAGCCATGTCGATTTACACTGAGGGTGAAATGGTTGGAGAATTATGTGGAGCAGTGACAAGAAACAGGCTTTTTCTTCACACGTCCACTGCTCAGAGCTGTCGTTAGTTCTCAGATGTCAAAATGTGACCCCCATCCCTCTTCATTAGGTGTGTGCCTGACCCTTCAAAGCACCGCTGTGTTCTTGACCAATCAGCTCTCTGTGAGTTCAGAGCACTCACTTTCCAGTACGTCTCGTCGTCCCTCCCTCACCAGCATTGACCTTCATGAATGAAGACGTCTTGAGACATGAAAAAATAAGAGAGATTCAGGAGTGCAGTGTTGTCACAGCAAGCCAGAGCTGGGATTCAGAAGGCTGAAGTGAAAGAGTTTCTCAGACAGCGTTTTTATACTCTTCAGTGTACTGCAACTCCCAGGATGCCACACAGTATTCTGGGTTTGCCTGAGTGAAAGTGAGGAACGACGTGAGATGATGTGGCAAAACTAATCACCTTTGGAAGTTGGGCATTATAGACCTGACAAATGAATCATTAGCTATGAAATCTGTTCACCAAATCCAAATCAAACCAAACTGTCAGGCTATGTAAAGAAAGGCTCATGGCTTAGTGATGACAACACTGTCCACTCCTTTTTTCCCCCTCCCTTTTAAATAATAAAACCATTCAGGTCTCAATTGCAGGGGTCTGGCAGAGAGGAGCGAGCTCCTCTGACGCTGGTCTGGGATCTGCAACCTGCAACATTCCACAACTTGTAGAAACCTTGCAGCCATGTAGATATCTGTACATGACCCCCCCCCCCCCCCCCCCTCCTTTGCCTCCTATGTTTTCTCTGTACGTCCTCCCTCTCCTCTATTTCTTTATTGTCAAGTTGAACAAATGCCTTATTAACATTTAGCAGCTTTGAATGGTAGTGAAAGCTTTTTTTCTTTTTTTTGTTTTGCACAGCTGGCTTTGAGTTTGACTGTAATATTATTTCATAAACAGATGTGTGACTCGGGTCGTGTGGATACGATTTCATGAATCCTGATGAAGGATGAGTGGGATGAGTCAACCCTCCTGATCATTTTCATTCAGATTTGAAGATGCCCATTATTTCCATGTTACAGAGAAGTGTTTTTATTTGTCCACAGAGGCAAAACCTCTCTGCCTCTGAAATTTCTTTTCATGCAATAACTCCCCAGATCTCCCAGGGGCCTTTGTGTGCCTTCTATTTCCTGACAGGCACCATACCTGTGACGTATGACAGCCTAGGTGACATATAATGGGAAATAATTTGACAAAAGTTTTAATTAGTGTATTTTATACAGATTTCTATATATTGTATTTATGTATTGACCCCCCCCCCTTCCCCCCCCTCCCCCAAAGCCCAACGTCTAGAGAACATCTGGATGTAACTGGGTCTTCCACATCCCCCTGTTTGCAACAATCAATATTTGCTGTTCACAATCAAAGACTTCATTCATAGTTCCTGGTCTGACAGATATGCAGAGCCTGTCCGGCAGCAATAACACAGTTGTGAGAAAAGTTTTTTCAGGCAGGTTTCTAGTCAGATACGATGAGGATGTGAACAGATAGACACAGATTCTGGTTTTGAAGATTTCCATTGGCTTTTTCTTTTTTTTGCCTTAAGCTTGACAATGATGCTCCTGCATGTGAGAGCTGAGGAGTGTTGCTTATGACGGTTTGAAGTCAGTTTCCAGGTGAAAATGATTCTGCTATGCATTAAAATTCTGCCTAATGCCTTTAAAAATGAGGGGAAAAAGACAAAAAAGACCTTGATGCCTATAGAAGTAGAATGTAGACTTGTAGATGCTTGATTGATTCTGTTAGCATCCTGGATTTGTCCGTCAGCCAATCTGCCTTGTCGAGGACACAGTGCAAGCATCTTAAAAGGTTCAGTTGTGTGTGTGTGAGTGTGTATGTGTGAGTAGTGTGTGTGGATGGATGGTTGGTTGGTGTTTGTACCAAATATGCTGTACAGAAGACAGGAATTTTAAGAGACCTATTTTCAACAACAGAAGCACACATGTATTTAGGCTATGCAAACTATAAGAAGCAAATGTGAGACATGACATTAAATATAAGAAATGAGATTATAAACTATTTGTAATGTTGCTTATGAACTTCACAGAGCAGAAAAAAATAAACATTCAGATAGTGAGAGTATCATGTCACTATGTAAACTATTAGGATGCCTTAACTCTTGTTTGAAAACCAGTTTGTCAGTGTGTCTGTATGCTGTTCTGGGTTGATTTTTTTTTCCATGACTAAGACATAAGTCAGTAACTATTATTATTATTAATGTTTTTTTGTTTTTTGGGGGCACAGGGTGGACATTTTGAGGGTTGGGTGGGAGAAGGGAGATGGCTCTTTTTGCATATGAAGCTGGTTCTGCAGCTTGAAAGACTTGAGTCAAAAAAAAAAAGAAAAAAAAGAAACAAAACCAGCATTGACAGTAAACTCTGGCTGCCGTCCTCTTCTGTCACAACCAAAGACCGAACAATATGTTCCCATTTTACATTATGGTAAAGCAACAGAGACTGTACAACTCTATTTTTGATACTTTGAAATGGATGTCATTCCTAAAAGGTCGGGGACGTGTATGAGTGTTGAGAATATATGTATATGTATATATACATACAGTATATACATATACATATATGAAATTGTTTTGTAAAATAAAAGGGAAATACAGGTTTAGCTGATGTTTACCGAGCCTTGTATTGTCATTTCTTGTATATTTTGTATGTTAAAATTTTTGTAATTTTTAAGACTGCAGTGCTTTTTGAAATTATTCAAAGGGAATACCTTGCATCATACTGTAGGCTCTAAAGTAGTGTATATCAATAAAACAGAAAACTCAGCTACGGCTTTGTGTCTCCTTTTTATGTTTTATACAAAAGCTGCCTTTTCTTTACCAACTCTGTGCTCTCTCTCTATTCTTCTAAAACTGTCTCACTAACCCCTTCACAACTCAACACACTGCAAGTATTTATTCATAGGTGACACTACTAGACCAACATAACAGTGGTAATGTACTGTAAACACTGCTGTGTTTCACTGATGGTTTGGTGTTCATTTATGTCAATGACATTCAGCTAAGTGAATCTAAAGCGATTCACAAGCCATTATGCACAGAATTTGAAAACGTCTGATTTGGCGCCATCTGGTGGTATTTACAAAATATTATAGAATCCAGTCATAAAATATCTGCTGATGATACGGGCAAAAACTGTCTCTTGAATACAACTACAGTATTAAAGTGAAATCATGCTCTAAATTTGTATCTTTTCTTTTTTGTATGTCTCTCAAGTAAATTTTTCTCCTGCACTCTGGTTTGCCAGCCCACTTCGACCTGGAGCTAAAACATGGAATCACCATCCACTTATTTTCACCTGCCAGCAAGGAGTTTTACCAGAATGGTGAACACAGTTGCCCCTATTGTACTCTAACTGTGGGTGTAACTGCTAGTCGCCTCCTAACAGAATATAGCACCATGTAGTTTCTGTCTCTGATTACTTGATTTTTGCCTTTGTAAATATCTACTGTAAATGACATACTGCATGTTGAACCGAAGACTGTCCACACCTCTTTTAAAATGTATTTCTTTCCTGTTCCCTTCTTAGAAAGAAGACATATTTTTATGTCTGGACAACATTTTTTATTGGTTTTATTGACATTATTGTCTTATGAATTCATCTCTTTAAATGAGACCAAATGAAACATGGATCATTGTCAACATTTTTATGGTTTATAGTCTTATCTAATTTACACAGAGCTAAATTCATGCAAGTCTCAAACTTGCAACAAAAGAAATATCTCCTCTGCCACCAGAGGTTGACCTAGCCCTGTTTGGGCCAGTATTGCACTCTGGGTAATGTAGGCAAAGTAAAGATGAAAAAAATCCAAAAACAAACTGAGGACAGCTGTCAATAGGCCCGTCACAGGAAAACACGTACACAGTACTCCGGTCGTAAGCAGAAATTAAAGATGCTACAGACTGATTGTTAGAAATAGTCTGGAAACAAAAAACAGAACAGAGACTGTACAGCAGCTGAGGTTGATCATTTTAAAAAGGCTTCAGGATATGTCTCTGTCCTGTTAGATTTAATAACAAAATTGGATTAATAAAAATAGAGTCAATTTGTCATGCTATTCAGACGAGCAGTTCCTTAACTCTTTGATTGGAGCAAAAACGAATCTGTAGTGCTTGGAAAAGGTCTAAATGGGATGACGTGTCATACATGCTTTATACAGGAAAAACGAGTTACAAATGACTTGGTACACTAGCAAAACTGTGATCCTGCTGTGGTTTTCACTAATAGTCCCTGCAGCTCAAGGTCAAATGAATCCATGTTAGTTAAAGAATACAGCTTGAGATCCACTCCTCATTTCAGTAGTCTAAGTCTTTATGGCTTTTTTTTTTTTCACTTTTCAATGGCACCACTGGAGACCATCAAATTAATAAACGTTGTGCACGCACATACACACATCTGTGTTTGCATAGAGCTAACACAAAGGATCATAAACTATGACGAACCAAAATATAGTGGTCAAGAATGAAAATTCAGAAATATACAGAAAAGATCAGAAGCAGAAGTGGTTTGTATAGCCTCAAGCATTTCAGGATGAAAATGATCTCTACAGTTTTATAGGGGACAAATACAGTATATAGAGCATTTGAATACACAGAGCCACTGTTATGGATTTGTCCAGGCTCCACATCATCTCCTCTCCACAACCAGCTATTGCAGTAGATGGCAAATACACAGTAATGCTATGCATGACATCCACAAAGTCATTAGCACAACGCAAAGCTTTAATGACTTCAGCTGCTTCACCTGTGGATGTTCAGACTCCAGCAGCAGCTTCAGGAGTGTCAGGGCCAGCAGGGTCAGGTGTGTATTAATAAATGGCAGATCAAAGAAAATCACTGTGTTATGTAGCAATGGCATCAACTGGAGATTGTTCAGTTTTACGGAGAATCTGGGAGGTGAGTGCTTTCAGTGGGAGGTTAGATTGAGCTAGTGGTCAGTTACAGAGGACCAAGTGGACCTGCTGGCCGTAGAAGGGGTGGTTGGAGCGCTCGGTTACAGCCCGTCTGGCGATCTCCTCACTTGGGAAGGTGATCAAGGCCTCACCGCTGCACTGGCCACTGAAGTTGTACAAGATGAGAACAGCGTCTGGCTGGAGCTGCAGAAAAAGAAAAAGAAAAAAAAAAAAAAGACGTGAAAATAAGTGTCACTTATTTTCATGCAGCTGCAACATGAAAACTCCAGGGGGAGCCCACAAAGCCTAGGATGAACAAAGCCTTGGCAAAGCTCATCTCATCAAACCGGTCCAGTTAGGTAGGAAAAAAAAAAAAAAAAGATTAATGGGCAGAGCTTAACAGGTAAAGTAGAGTACATGCTGTTCCCAGAGGACCGGACCCATCGTGATGCCACACACATTAATTATCTGTTAGTTTGCATGCATCCACGTCCTGCATCAAAATCAAGTTTGATGCAAAAACTCCTTTAAAACATGCAGATATGAAACAACACACTGATCATTGTAATGAGAGCAGTAAAATCTGTAAAGTCTACATGTTAGAGAATCACATGTCAGAGCATTAGATAGGGCGACAGACAGAGTGGGATAATACATTCAGGGTACCATCCACTGGAAACGGCCGAGGTAGAGAGGGAGGCCCTGATTCAGAAGCCGTGTTCATGCGGTGGTTTAGTGTAGGAGTGCTGAATCAAGAGAAATTAATACTGCAGCGTGTATGTTGTCATGATCCTTAATCACAATGTTCAGTGAGTAGCGCAGACAGTGTTAAGATAAAATTTAAATATAAAAAGAGGGACGTACTCTACCACTTCATTTTTCAAAAGCTCTAAAAAGGTTTGTAAACTTGAGCATACAGATGGTTTTTACCCTCACTGAAGAGCAGGGACTGTGGGCCCTGCATGGGATGGTTATCTGTCTCTGCTGTACAGCAACGTCCAACACACAGAATGTATAAAATATTAAGGACATCCACATAAGAGCACATGTTGCAGGTGCCTATAAGATGCTGCTCAATATGATAATTCAATCAATAGAAATAACATGTTCTTCTTATTTACAGCAACACAAATCTCAGTGCTAATACCAAACTTCCTGTCGAGAAGTGTCAACTGATGTGATGTGCCGCAAAAGTTGCAAGTTAAAAAAAGCTGTAAAAATTGAACTGATAATCCACTTTTAGATTGTGGTGGCTGAGTCTGTGCCACTGCGGTGTCTATCCTATCACAGGAACATGTATGACTGTGGGACAGTGGTTTTGACTTTGATCACTTTGTCAGAGGACTTAAGAAAAAAAAAAGGTCACTAAAATTTCATACATTCTGTGTATTATATACAGCATATTGAAACTTGTGTAGATGTCTGTCAGGAATCCAGACTCAGCACTCCTCTCACAGGCCTACAGGAAGGACTTTAGTCATGAAGCAGTTTTGTTTGGGAAGCAGCAGACTGACATGCCGGCTCAGGAGCTCAGAACCTCGATGGCTAGATTGGGCATTCCTACACAGACTAGTCCTGTCAAATTATAGTTTGGCGTGTGATGTGTATGATGGGTTATGTCACAGTGCTTTAATCTCACAAGAAACATTGCTCGATAGTGGGCACAATAATTCTTTAGGAAGCTATGTTTCTGCAAGATGGATTTCAAGTCATTTTGAACCAGTCATGACCTGCAAATCACTGCCTCAGTGTTTACTGGGTAGTTTGAGGCTCGCCCATTATCCATTTATTCTGGATGTTGTACATTAAACTAAACATATAGACATTAGTTAAGTCGAGGAAATGCCCTTTCTGTCCACTCTGGTTCTCTGGTCTGGAGGCTCTTCTTACCTTGGGGCGAGTCCCTAAAGACAGAGCCATTCTTTGGGCTGAATCAGACTCCTGGCCTGTTCGTTCATCTGAACCACGCCGCTGTACTCGTCAGGGGCGTACTACAGATAATAATGAACGGACAGTCAGGGTGGGAAGGCCTCCACATTGTTTCACACATGACAGTACACAGTTTTAGATAAACAAAAAGATGCAAAAGTAAACACTCTCAAAAATACTCCAGGTTTTTGAGGAAGACAAACACACCAAACCAGAGACACACACACGCGCGCGCACGCACACCAAACATACATACCAAACACTGGCTGAACAGGCTTCGTTTGAACCACAAAGAGTGATTTGGTATGGGATTGTGTGGTTAAGGAAACCAGTGATGGTGTGGGAACTGTTTTCTCGCCCAGGGCCAATGTGAGAGGCATGACTGTAGCCAGAAAAAAAACCACACACTTGCTCCATTCAGGATACAATTACTGCAGTTCAGCCAACAGTCAGGACTAGAGTCAGCTTTACTTTCTCTCTCGAACACACACAGACTATTTATCCAGCATTTATCCTTCAATGTTCACTCGAGAGACTTTGGTGTGAATTTGATGCTGGCAGCCCACTAAAATAAGACACACACACACACACACACACACACACACGACAGCATAGGGGTTGAACTAGTACTAAATGACATAAGCCATGAAGACCAAAAGCAGACCCAAGATCTGTACCACAACAAGACAACCCCTCCACCTCAAACCCCACCCCTCTCCTGTCTGAAGCCACACCTGTCAGGGTTTCATACCTGCTTCAGAGGACTCCGCCTAATTTGGACTGGCAGCAGAAAAAAATGGAAAGCAAAGGGAGGGGTGGTGGGGGCGGGGGTTGGGGGGGGGGGCACAAGAGTGCACACAAGTCCCTTAACTGAAATACTAGAGTGGTGTGATTTTTCAATAAAAACCACCAATAGAAATGGGCTCAATGGTCCAACAGCTTCTGACATCATCACGTGGAGTTGCAGACTATGGGAAGAGTTCATAAACAACAAATATATAGCCACAGACACTGCTTATTGTTATTTCTTATTACTCGTTCACCATCATCGTCAAGTAGCTGCTATGAATGGTTGCCACAGTTTACTGTAACATGGCACTGGGCAGCTTTAGTCCAAGTGTGAGCATTTTACAAACAGATAAAAATCATTCACACAGCAGAAAACCATTCCTCACATACCAAAATCTTAAATTCAAATCATTTTACATGGCAGTTGAAGAAAAAAAATAATAGTAATATTGTTTTCTCTCTGCCAGTAAATTTGAGTGCCAGGCTTTTACAGTACATTTCCATACTTATCTTTGTGTGACACCTACATCCATTCACACACCAGTGCACTTTATTAATCTGTGGCCTCATTGAAGTGCTACATGCGCTGACCTGGTATCCCTGGAAGAAGCTGAGGATGTCCTTGACTCCAGCATTGTAGGGCAGACCCTGCATCCTGACCAGGGCACCAGGTTGGGGCAGCACAGGAGAGGCGGCGGCTGCAGCAGGGTGGGGCTGGGCTGCCACTGCTGCTGCCATTGCTCCTGGTGGAGCTGCAAAGTAGCTAACTGTGGAGGGGGAAACTGGTGGGCTGCAGTGAGAGTGTGGCACAAGAAAAAGAAGAAAAGTGAGAACAAAGTCAGTAAAAGGCAGAAGATGAATTAAAGGTTAACTGGTGATGAGTAGGAAGAGCAGAACAAGGCATTTTATCATTTTTCAGTTAGCTGTAGCTGGTGCGTTACTAACCTGGGGTAGTAAGCTGTGTAGTTCATGTTCATATTCATGTACAGGTGTGGTTGAGGGGGGTAGTAGGCCAGAGTGTGAGCAGGGCTGTGTGCAGTGGTCTGATGAGGTCTGGGAGCAGCCAGCAGGGGGGGCTGGTAGAGGGCAGCCTCAGAGAGAATGGCAGGTGGGGTGGGAAAGGCAGTATAGGCTGTGGGGGGAGACAGACCTGCAGGGAGAAAAAACCTGATCATTAACATGTTGTGTTCAGCTCATGCCTAACCCTGCCAGTAATACAGTGTGGTATGAAGAAGTATATGGTTAGTTTCAACGTGCTTCATGGGGATTTCATCATGTGTTTCAAGTTACAAACAATGCACAAAACCGTGAGAAACAAACCAATTCTCACTGAAAGGAAGCTTTAACATCTCTGGGGTCAAGGCTGTCGGTCAGCTGACAGTTAGTGACCTGGGACTCTGGGAAACCAAGTTTTCACTATTTTCTGACAGTTAACAAACGAGATACATTATCAATTAAATCGAGAAAATAATATTCAGATTCATTAAAAATGAAAATAATCATTAGTTGTAACCTGTAACCAGAACTACAAAAATAACCTTGTCATAGTTTTGGCCATCATTCCTATTACTGCCAAGATTTGGGGGCACAGAGGCACAGGTAGTCACAGCTGTACATCAGGGGAAGCAACATATGGAGTCAGACAATCAGACAAAGCCCAAATGTAACCCACAGCTCTTATTTTGAAGTTACAATGTTGTATTGCAAAATTCTATTCCGTGAGAGCTCTGAAAGATCTAATGGACATTAGCACAGTTGGACTGGGTAATAACATTCATCTTAAATTTCACTTTTTAGATGATATATTTCAACTATCACTTCTTTAAGCTGGTTGTCAGTCACTGCATCCCAGGTCAGTATGTCAACAGAACAGATAGAGATGACAGCCAGAACTACAGGAATAAGATCCTGGTTGGAAAATTTTTCTTTCAGTCAGTCTGGAAACCACCTTCTGCATGCCAACTATTTTATTTACAAATCTCTCCTGTGTGCTTCAGGTTGTCATACACACAAATAATGGTATGAATGTATTTACATGCAAACAGCCACTATCAGTATGAAGCTGTGGGCAGCTGTGGTATCCCTTCAGTGCCAACAGGGAAACATGGTGACACACAACACTGCTGACCTTGTGGAGGCTGATGTGTTTCCTGGTCAGTCAGGGTGAAATTACAAGGAAAAAGAAATTTCCTCAACTGTAATTCTAGAAAGGATATAAGTGTCAGGCAACTATTATTTATTTATTTATTTATTTATTAAATCTATTATTTTAAAAAATGGTACAGAAATGTTAATCAGTGATCATTACAAAGAAAAGTAATAATTGAAGCCTATCCTGATCTAATCTCCAGCACTAAAAACAGATATGAGCCATAACCGAGCAAAGTGCATACTTAGGGTTGCAGTCCAGTCTTAACTGTTTCAGAAGAAGAAAGAGGCAAGAACTCTGTCTTCTGTCTGAAACTACTAATGAAACACCAGCAGACTGCAGCACATTGAAAGTTTGAACATTTTAGGTTTTGAGTATGTGGAACTTTCTGATATTCATACAGGCTGGGTTAATTGTGTAACTTTTCATCTCTAGGAAAGTGGTAGCTCAATACTAAAGTCACAGCGCTAAAAGGCTGACAATGACAATGCTAACATTCTGATCTTAAGCAGGTGTAATGTTGACCATGTTCACCATCTTAGTTTAGCACGTTAGCATGCTAACATTTGCTAATTTGCACTAAACACAAACACCTGAAACTGATAGAAATGCCATTAGTTTTGTAGGTGTATTTGATCAAAAACAAACAAAAAAAGTTCCAGATGAATGTGTGATAAAGTTATCACCAAAGTTATCACAATTCATTCTGAGAGAAACAAATGTCATCACAATTCATTCTGAGAGAAACAAATGTCTACACTAAATTTCATGTCAATCAATCCAACAGTTCACATATTTCAGTCTGATATAAAACACCAGCATTGCCATCCCTTGAACCGTGTCGCCGTGTCGTGGCTAAAAATCGTAAAAATATCACTAGAATCGAATAGATGCGGGTGTATTTGGTGCTTTGATGAATCTTATATGGTGGAGTTCACTTACAGGGGAGTTTGCAGGGTGGGGGAGAGAGGCCGCTGCGATTCAGGGTTCCTCCCATCAGCACTATGCTCATCTCCTCTGTGGAACACTGGAACACCTCAACGTACCGGTCCTTCATTGTCTTTTTATGGCACTTCTGGGCCACCATAAACGCTTTGTCAGGTGACTTCATTTGGATGAAGGCATCGCCAGAGGGCCGACCCTGCAGAGGAGAGAGGAAAAACAAAACAGTCATAAACAAAAAACAGTGTGCATGAGAATACACCACAAAGCTACCCAACACAATTCAAAAGGAGGTGGCATTCATATAATAAAAACACAAAATATAATAATTATAATGCTGCAATCATGTGGTTACTAGAGAGTCTGAACATTTATGTGTGAGTTTGTTGGAGCACAAAAAAAGGATAACCATATCTGTAGAGCAAATGATATTCATAAAGTGGCAAAGGAGGCTGTTCAGTGCCCTTCCAAGATTGTTTCCTTTCAGTTTTTCTTTACAACAATTGCAACAATATCAAAATGTAGATTTAAATTAAATGCTTTTAGATACTCGACCATGGGTGAATGGGGATGGGGCATTTAACATAGCTATAAGACATGAAGCTTTACAGTGAAAAATGTCCCCACCAGTCTGACCTGCTGGTTGAGGACCATGTGGACTCCGTGGGGTTTGATGTCAACAGTGTGCTCTCCCATAAACTCCAGGATGTCTTCAATGCCAGCAGTGTAGGGCAGACCACGCAGACGAACACAGTCGCGTGTGCTACTGGTCGCCGGAAGGAAAGGAGGCGTGGCGAGGACCGGGACAGGCACGATGGGAGAAGGGGGCAGTGTTGAGATTAGAGGTGTGGACATGTAGCGGTTCAGGACCTAGCAAATACAAAAGAGGAAGGACACTGATGAATCAAAACATATTACTGCTAATTTTTCAACGAATGACTGAAATCTCCACCAATAAACACTCTTATGAGATAAGGACGTCCAAGTTCATTTCACCGATTATTGAAATTATCTGCATGCACAAATTTTAATACGGAAAAACTTCAAAAATGAAAAAAGGTTGAGTTGAGTATGGTCCACAGGAACAAGCTGAGGGACAAGAAGTTCAGAGCTGTTCCTGAGGGTGATTGAAAAACAATATACATATAAATTGTGCAATAATACAGATGTCATTTTTAGTTGCGCAAACTCCACAGTCATCTGATTTATTGGATGCCTCGACTGTTTCATCACATACTTTCAATGCCATGTTTGCTGACTTCTGTACGTTGCCATGACATCAGTTTTTTGGAAGCGGCTGTTGTGGACCTCAGCCTATGTTCACTAATGACTAACAAATTTTTCAAGAGCCCTAACTGCAAGAAAATTAAATACATGGATTTGTCTATATATTTATCATGATTAGTTTGTTATGTATCAAATAGTACTTCAGTTATTGCCAAGGACAACATGGACAACATGCCCATGTTTTATGTCTGAAATAGAAAACCACAAGTTCCCCTGTTCATGTTGCCAGTTTTAATGTTACTTTGAAGCAGACATTGCTGGAATTACTCAACGCAAACACAACCTTATATGCATTAAACATCTTGCACAGAGGAGCTTAATCAAACTAAGTTTCATTTAAGGGACCTCCACCTGTTCCCAACACATCACCAACAGGATCTTTATGTCTGTTTTGAATCCTGTGATGCAGTACGTCAGTATATTTATTGTATATTGATGCATTTTTTTTCCATGTTTCCAACGATTTCCCATACAAATTAAAAGAATTTACCTGTTGCACCTCAGCCGCAGTGCTCCGAAACAGCTCAATGTACCGCTTCCCCAGGATCTGCTTGTGCTTCTTCAGCGCGTTCTGGGCGTATTCTTCACAGGAGAAGAGCACAAAGGCATCACCAGTGGGCCGTCCGTCGGGGTACTTGACAAAGAGCAGACCTTCAGCACCATCTGTAACCGGGCTCTCTGGACCAAGGAAGGAGAGGACTTCCTGGGGTGTGGCAGTGAACGGCAACCCCCGCATACGGATAATCACCTGGTTCTCTTTGGACAGGAACTGGGCCACCTCGTTAGATGTACCTAGAGTCAGATAAACAGCTACGATTAAACACTTTGCTTCAAGCTAGTGAGCAAAATAAGACCATCCCAGTGTCACTCATTTTGTTAACAGGCAAGGTTTATTGTCATTTCATGTTCATGTAAAGACAACCTGCTTTCGTCAACTCTGTTAGGTAAACACAATGCACCAACTAGTAGCAGGCAGTTGACATAGATAGAAATCCTCCATCAAGATATATCCAATTCCATATTGCGATATTGACACTGTAATTGTAGTGCTTGTCCTAGCTCAAAGTTAACTCTCTTACATTTGCAAATAACCCCATCTGGTGAGCCATTAAACCAGAAAACTGACCTTAAGTGGCAGAGAGTACACATACATTTTCTCACATGTTCAGTGAAGCCTCGTTTCTACATAGCTTTCTTTGATCCATTTGTAAGCAAGTAAAAAGTATACAGTAGAGAGGTCATCAAAATACTGTCATCTAGTGATTAAGGTAATAAACTACACTGTAGATATTAAGTTCAGCGGCTCTACAATTTATGCTACTGTACACGTAAAAAACTATTTTACAGACTAGTCGGAGTATTACTGTCCCTGTTTCTTCTACTGCTAGACAGAAGACTCTGGGCCCATATTTAACATTTGAGCTGAAAATGGCCAAACAAATCCTCAAATTAAACAGCTACAATATAACATTTCTCAACATTTTTCAAAACAGCAGTGTTGCTGCCTGATACACTAAATATTTTGTATTATGCATTTATTTACATGTTTACTATTTTCCACTGATAAATGCAGCTGTGCCTTGTCTGCTTTTACTATTTGCTTAAAGTCCAATGTGCTGTCAATCTGTATTGATCTTAATTCATCTGAGTAAAGTCCAGAGTTAGACTGGCAGCCACTGTAAGTTATCTGCTTCGAGTGACTGCGTTTCTTTGTCTGCTATCTCTGTTCTGTGTTACTGCTGCCTGCTGCTCTATGGTTTAGAGGCCCATGGCTATGCCTTTGTCTCTTCACACCATCTTTGTATCAGCACTGAGCTGGCCCTTTTACTGGCCGTCCGCCCTCTCTCCCTCAGGGGAGTGGGGCTTGAGGCTGAACGGCACAGGTGAGCTGCTGTTAGCCAAGAGTGAAATTTTTCTCCAACTGGCCTCTGAGGGGTTGGGCTGGGGATGAGAAGGTGAGAGAGGAATGGGGGGGGGGCGGTGCAGGAAGCTCCTCACAAAGCGTCTTTCATTAGCCCAAGATAAGCTACTGGAGAGTCACTGGGATGAGGCAAAGACACAGGTAAATGAGATCCTTTTTTCACAGTCACTAAAGAGCTGCTCTTTTGCAGATGTGGAAGCCTCTTGTTTTTCCTCAAAGATGCGGGAAAGCAATGAAACATAAGGCTACCACACACTAACAGAAAGCCTTTCACCATGAGTCTTCATGAAAACATAGAAGAGGAGGGGGAAAAAAAAAAATCTGAAATCTGACCTCCAGCAATTTTGAGGAATTCCTCTCCTGTGGCCTTGTAAACCTGAGAAGAGAAGAGGATAACCATAAAAACATTTAACTCATAAGGATGTAACATATGATCTGACTTCAGACTGACAGTGATCTTCGATCCAAACAAAATACACAGCAATGTTGTGATCTGAGCAACAGTTTATAAGTGATACTGAGCCTGAGGGACTTTATAAAATGCCTTAGTAAAAATGCAGGTGAAGCTTCACCTGTCATAGAAATCTGACCCTGAAGGGGCTTTAGCATAAATCACTAAACCTTAACCAGACTCGCACTGACTGCCTAAGAACATAAAAAGGGCACTAGAGTTCAGCTACACATTTTTAAAAACACACAAAGCAAAACTACACTTTACAACTGACTGAACAAGAGGTAAATGCTGAACCTAACCTCGATGTAGCGGCTGCCCATGTGGTGCTTGTGGCGCTCCAGGGCAAGGTCCCTGTGTTCTGAGTTGATGAAACGAACTAAGGCCTCACCATTCCTCCTGCCCTGAGCGTTTAGACACAGGGCCACACCACCCCTGAAAGACAGATGCACATATACATGCATGAGTAATGACATGGAGCTGCGGTCAGGAGTAAAACTTCAGCAACAGGTTGTTGACTGAATGGTCTCAGATCTGGGTTTAACAGTGATACCTACGGTCTTGTCTTGATAGTTAAACATTTTGACATTTTGGGAAACCCGTTTATTCATTTTCAAGAGCTACATAAGAAGATTGATCCCACTCTCACAACTCTGCAGTAACTATGTACTGTGTTAATTACTGGGTAATGCTGGCAGGTGTATTTTATTACATTTGAAAAGAGCCAGGCGAACCTTTTAGCCATGCTTCCAGTTTTTATGCTAAGCTAAGCTAAGCTAATATAACCAGCTGCTAGTTCCAGCTACATATTTAAGGTGCAAACATTAGAGTGGTATCTTATCCTGCTCTTGGCTAAAAAGCAAACTGTGTAATTATCTGACATTTTAACAAGATTACATTGTTCTCCTGCAACAGGAGTTTATATAAAGTTTGTTGAAGTAACGGGGCTGTTGGATGTTTCCTATTAAGACCAACATACTTGGCAATATTGAGGCCTTTAAAGAAGCGAGCAATGTCTTGGTCTGATGACTGCCACGGGAGTCCCCGTGCTCTGATCACTGTCTCACTGTCCACTGGCTCCGTCTTACTGCTGTACAACACACAATGTGGTGGGAGAAAACACATGAATGACATTCTGACTGTAATGAGTGACAGAACAATAAATTGATTAAAACTTTTCCACAGACTATAGCTTTTATGAATAAAAACACCAACTCCATTGCTGTTAAACTTGAACAAATTGTCCAAAGACTGTAGACACAGAGGCCACTCACAGTAAGTGCTGAACACAGTAACACACTCCTGTGATTAAATGTCAGGGGGTTGTCAAGGTGATAGGCTTTTGGCTGTCTTGAGAACAGCAGGATTTGGTGCCCTGCCACTAGATAGCCAGGTAAGCACTTGATGCAAAGTTGGGACAGCTTTAATGACACACTTGTGGTTTCCTTGTTGCTGTAATCAATGTTAAGAGCCCCTTAGCTGTATTCAGGTCTGAAGTCTGAATACGGCCGGAGGGGGGTTGTCAGTCTGTAACAAACACTGCTGGTAAACAGGTGTGGCAGAAACACACAAGAATGGACTGAGACTAAATGAAGAGTTCATACATACCATGTGCCGGAATCAAACTTGTATTTCACTGATTCAACACAGGAGAATTTGTGATCTAAAAAGAATAAAAGAAAAGAAAATTGTGTCATTTAATTTTTTGTTGGATTCTGAAGGTCCACAACATCGTTCTGTCTCTTATGTAGTGATCAAGTTCATTCACACACAATTGAAAGTGTGAGTTTTGAGCACACTGCATTCCTGATACTTATCACACTCAAAGCCAAGGGGGTAAAGCCAGAGGGGACTGGTGACTGATTAAAGTCTGATTTATTTGCACTGTAACATATCTGGAGTCATGTTACATCCATCTCTACAGCAAATAAGAGGTTGCTGCTTTTTAACACACATTTTAAGATCTGGTTACAAAACAAAAAAAAAAACTAAGTGTAAGTATGGCTGGTCTGCACTGTACCACAGCTGTGCAAAGACTTCAGTTTTGCAGTCACAGTGCTGATTGTATGAACCCAAACCACCAGACAGGTCAAAGTGCTTGATAACAGTGCATATCATTTCACTGATCCTTCTATGGGCCAGGTACCTTTCTGCTTTCTCCGCACAGGCAATGGTAGACATTCAGCCTCTGGGTCAATGTCAGATTATTTCAGATACAAAGTCTGGCGGTTACTTACTGTAGGGCTCAGCCAGCATGCAGAGCGTCAGCTGCACCATGCTCCTCACCTCCCTCACCTCCATCAACTGCTCTGACACAGCAGGAAGACCAACATCTGCATATACAGTTAAAGATGTTTCCCAGTTTAACAGCCATTTTGACTTTGTACTACTTGTACTATGTTTTTTACGTCAAAAAGTTTGCACTGAATTGACAAAGTAAAGTCTATATATTCTATACAGTTATACTTATCAAGAGGGTGTACATTAACAATTTTCGTTGTGTCTCCCCACAAATATGTGGTTAAAAGGAGAATTTATAAAATAGAATATCAGTAAGATGTGAGTACAAATACAGTTTTAGTGCACAGGCTAGCAAAGGATACATTCCAACATGGAGGGGAGGGTGAGCTTCTGCACTGGGCCAGCATTGGGGCAGCATTTGTGAAACTCTTTTCTCACGTCCACAAATGAAAAGAAACATTCAGGTAGGACTAGATTCTGAAATGAAAGAATGAAAAAGGAAACGATTCAGTGTAGCAGTATGACAGTATCTGATATGGAGACTGGATATACCAGGAAGCTAACAAACAAAGACATGTAAAAGAGGAAATTCAGTAGAAAAGGTATCTATGTGCTGACATCTTCTGTCAGAGTTATAAGCAGGAACACAAAAATGAAGAAAACGTAATGCAAAAGAAATTCATTACTTCTTAATACGGGTCAGTGACCACATTCATGAGGGAAAGAAAGTTTCCATACGAGTTATGACACACCATCATATAACTAGAGGCACGGACAGAGAAAGCCAATACTGATTTGTTATGGGGGATTACTAGTACTCTGAGGCAGAGCATGACACACTAGTGCTCAGCCGAAGTCCAGCTGAAAAACTTTCATCTTAACAAAACTACTAACATTTTGAAACACAGCACTCTTCAACAAGCCCAATAGAATGTTCTGCAAAAGAAAATAAAAGGCTATCTGATACATATTTTCATTTTGGATTTAAAATCGTAAAATGTTACGCTATGGGTACAGATACATGTGTCTGTGGTACAGAAAAACAGTGGGAACTATTACCTTTTTGGAAGCCTCGGGGTGGAGGGCTTGTCGGATAACAAGAGGACTGTTGACGCAAAGTGTGCAAGAGCTCCTGCCAAGGCATTTTACTTCTGATGACACTGACTGCTGGAACTGCATAATGAAACAGAGAGGAGATAGAGAAAAGGAAATTAAACATGGATTTTATTATGAGCATCTTTCAGAATTAAATTGGGACTGTCGATAACAAATATTGAATATAGAGAGGAAAAAACAAGAGGTAATTTATTTTGGATTATTTCACTCCTTTGTACTAAATAATAATATACAGGTCAAACATGGTTTGATATCTGTTGTGCAAACACCATCCACTATGTGAAAGTGAATATCACAGATTAAACTTCAATCTTCAGGCAGACAAGTGAGGGTGGTGCTGTGTTTGACATTTGACTGTGTGTTTGTGTCTCATTAGGAACGAGGCTTGTCTAACAGGTTTTAGTGTTTGCCTAGTGAGAAAGGGAGCAGACAAAAGAGAGGAATGATCACACCACTAATAACCAGTACCAACAGTCACAGGTAGGCCAGAGGAAAAACAAACCATACGAGTCCAACCTGCCTAAATACCAGCACCTCCCACATATGCACATGTTTATTTATAACTACCACAGTCAATAAGCCCCATTCCTTGTGTTGTGTCAACCTATTGATGGCAGCGTTTCAAACTGTCAACAGAGGCCATCACTTCGATCTCTAATGACTAATGACATCTTTGATGATCATCTTCAAAGGCAGCCAAGTTTATATTAATTTCTCTCAGGATAAAAAACTATGTTGAGCGCTTTTTGGCCAGTAAGGTTACAAATACACCAAAACAAACCGACAGCAACAAAGACTTGAAGTACTATGATCTTATTAAGTTAAGACTTAGCCAACAATTGCTTAGCCAAACATTCAGACACAGAGAAGCCTGGGTATCCCACTGAAATCACCTGTTTAGGTCACCAAATCATAAAGGAAAATACCTGAGACTCTTACGTTGCTGAATGTTTCACCAGCAGTCTGTCATTATGTGATGTGGTGCTTACCGTACAACCTGATTATCTGAGGTTGTGTGCCGGAAGAGGTTGCAAATATTTACTTGAGGGTTTGTCAGTGCTGGGGTGGGGTGGAGAGCTATTGGAAGACAACCATGCAGACGGGCAAATGATTCTCAGTGAGATCAGTAGTACTAGTAACTCGTTCACATATAAATACAAGTTGAGTGTTCCTTGTTTGATATTAAATAAACAGGTCCGATTTAGACCACGATACATTGCACAGATTGGGCTTATTAAACTATATATACCATGACAATTCATTTGTAAATGACACTTCTTATGTAAAATTATTATATTGATCAAGATCCAACAACTGCAACCACCAGTCTTGTCATTGTATGTGTTGTATCTCTGCATCTCTTCCTTTGCATTATATTGACATCTCGAAACCTTTGTGAAGTCACACTAACTTGAATGCTGCATTAATTCACTAGCTGCTCAGTGTCACAATGCAAGATAGAGACCACCTTTTGCTTGTGTCATTGGCCACTTCAGAAAGTTGTAATGTTAGCTTTTTCCTTCCCCTACCATGAGCCCTCAAAGTCCCCTCTGTAGGAGCAAAATCAGTCCGTCTGGATATAAGACCACCTTAAACTCAGTGACTGACTAGATTCACATGGCCACTGGCTATACATGACAAATCTTCACACAGTCAGAGAGTATTAGAGGTGCATGTTGGGGCACGCTCAGTCAGAAAGTCAGTCAGGGCTATTTGGCAACGCCAGCCACCTGCTGACAAGGGAACAAATGCTTCAGGGTTGGATTAAGGGAGTTTTGGGGTAGCTGGACTAACACATGAAAGAGTCTTGGGTATTTACAGTGGGCCCATGAACACCAGCAGACCTACAAAGGTCACTGGTGACTGAAATTTCTATTAAAATAAATAAATAAATAAAAAGGAGGAAAGTTTTTTTCACAACTGTGAATGTGAAAAATGTAAAATCTTGAGTCAGTACAACTTCTATTTGCTCTGTGCTATGTACATAAAACACAGAGAAAAACAGACAGATGGTCACTATCATTCTTTAAACTGAGCCACTCATACACTTTCACCTTACCTTATAAAGTTCCTGCAATTTTCCAGGTCAAGGTCATGTAAAAACAGGAGCCACACTTCAGTATTCAAAAATAGTTAAGCAATTTGCAAGCTCAAGAGCCCGTGCAATTTCCGAAAATGCTGTCATGGCTCTGGTGAGCAGAATCATAGTAACCTACCCACATACAGCCCCACAAAGTTCTTATGAAAGATGATTTTACACTGAGGAAGTGAGTCTATCAAGTCAATGGTTGAAGGTTCAGGTGTTCATGCACTACCATCTGAGAGTTAGCTGCCAAACAGCATTACATGACTATACTATGTTCAGTGTTTCTCCTATATGCAAAATGGAACTTTGAGCTCAAATTGTTTTTGAGAAATGAAATATTAAAAATTTAAGCACAGGCCCATTTTGTTAGCACCCCATTAACACCCATATGACTCCAAATTGGTGATTTGGGTCATTTGGGCTGTGTTTCATTATCTCTCAAATTATCAAAAAAGACAGGTAAATGTGTACGTTTGTGTATGCAAAACAAACATTTCTGCCTCATTCACAAACGATGCGCGCACTAATGAGTCAAAACTTTTGCGTTATTTGGATGTTAATGGGGTGCTGAGGCCTATGCTTAAAAAAATGTGCTGGCACCGTTGTTGAGAAACGAAACATTACAATTCTATTTTGCCTGCACAAATGTGCACAAACAAGTCAATAGGTGTTATATCCTGATTATATGGGGTGCCAACTTCAAAGAAATACAAATTTTGACTAAACTGGTACAACCTTGTCCTGTACACTTATCTTGTTATTATATTTGAATTTCCAGATGAGTCTGAAAGACTTGCTTATTAATCCATTTCTATTTATGCTCAATAAAAATAGTGTAAGTAATTTTCTGTGTTGAGGATTTTCATTCCTTGACAGCTATCTGGGCCTCCAGAGCCCTTCAAGTGTCAAAAGCCCCAGTAAATTCTGCGGTAATTTTCAGCTATTCCTCCACTTACACATGTAAATACGGGTCTGGTATTGCTTGCTCATGAATGGGGCACAGCAGCACCACTGCCGAAAACCTGATTCACTTTTAGATTACAGGCTGGTATGATAAACTGCACAAGTACAATAGGTCAACAGATACATTTTGGTAAAAGGATATACCACACAATGAACTCTGTATGTAGCCACATTATTATTTAAAAAAAAAAAAAAGGCTGAGCCCAGAACCAATATGTGAAACAATGTTAAGATCTATTTTAGGTGCTTTGAAGCTGATGAATAACGAATGAGAAAATTATCATTCAGAGGAAAATAATAGAATTAGGCCGTGTTGGCAACACTGAATTTACCTGCACTGTCATGCAAGTTTAGCTCAACTGGTCTATTACACTGCCTAGGTTACCAAAGTGTCCTGACCGCAGTATCAACACACCGCCTGAACAGCACAATGTTACCCACTGATAGAGGTGTAGTTGCCAAAGTGAATTACAAACATGAATCAATAAAGATATAGTTCTGCACTTTAAAGTCCTTGAATTAAAATTCTCTCTTTCAACCTAATTCAATGAAATAGTTAAGACTCAATTCACTGACTGTTCCGATTTTGTACAGGATGTCACTTTTACAGCCTTTGCTACATTTTGTTTTCTTCTCAGCCAGCCGCATGTATCTAAAAGCTAACAAAACTAATTAACAGATCGGGTAAATTATCTAACCCAACTTAATACCTAAAGCTTTCATCGTTCCTATGTAAACACAAAAACCCAAAACTATGACAATCCAAAGTTCTTTACATTAATTCTTCAGCACATTTTAAGCACAGCCATACTGCACAACTTCATGTTTACAGTGATAACACAACTAGTGTTTGCTCTTAGCTGTGCTGTAAGCTCCACCATAGCCAATTACTAAAGCCGGATTACAAAGAGAAAAGCAAATGTTATATAAGTGGTAGGGGCACACCCTCTCCCTTTCTCCTCTGTGTCAAAAAACAGTTTAAATTGAGCAAACAAGCTGATCAGAAGTCAAATTTCACACCGACAACAGATAACTAGAGACAACGGGCTATTGAGCCAAACTCACAAAGAGAGCACAGAAAAAAGGTCCAAATGCTATTTATAGATTTACATAGTAGTACCGGTAGATGTGGCCCTTTACATGAAAGGATCATTGTTATCATGCCTTGGCACACTTGGCTCTGGTGTCAAATACTGGCTGCTCATTACCAGTTATGATGCAATAACCTATGTCAAACTTCCTCTTTGATAATGCCATCTTAGTGGGTGATGGGAAAATTCATTTATTTTAGTTTGATTAAAATATCAACACATGCTTCTCCAGAATGATTTCAGGATTCACAAGTATTACTGAGGAAACTCTTACTCTTAAACCAACTTTTTGCCTCACTCTACCCTCTGAAAGGCCCACTGATGAGGGGGAGGAAGTGGCCTTTGAACATGGTCCTATCAGGGTTTGCTCGCCAGTGTAGCTGGACTGTTTGTGTGCAGAGGTGAGGTAGGGTGGTGGTGGCTGAACCAAACTCCAATAAAAGCAGCAGGGAGTGTCAGGGCAGCCCCTGTGGTAACTGTTCAAAGCACCTGAAACTAGACACACACCACCACCACCGCAGTGCATTTTATGACACATTAAGTGTTGTAACATTGCTTGCATTGGGGATGGGAGTTTGTGACTGGGCCAAAAGCAACATGAATAAAATAGAGTGTGATGGGGGAAATGCTTGGCAACAACAATTAGAGTTTCAGTTTTACCTTACATGGGTAAAAGAGCTTTCAGTGAGCCTATGTGAACATAATTATCAGCAACTCTTTTTTTTCATTTTTTGCAATAACCCAGTTTCTTAAACATTGCATAAATTAGAAATTCAGCATCCGGTGCTAACTACAGGTGTATCCGTGAGTGTAAAATTGACAAGCACACAGTAAAGAAAATTGTTCTCCCACTGCAGACCGTTGTCACTCACTACACCATGAGTTTCCAAAAAAAAAAAAAAAAAACAATGCTTCAAGTTGCACTCTTGTATATACTGCAAAGTCTTCTTATTTTATGTAACGGTTAACTTAAATCCTTAATAAAGTTAAGGGTGACATTCTAAGATGATCTGAAAATAATCCGGTTATTGCAGTGGATGCAAATACATTCTCCAGTTTCCTGTTCTAACCAGATTTCAAACTAACAAGTTGTGGTCATTGTAGCAACAGGCACCAATGTCAACATCAAAATTCTTTTAAGATCTTCCGTTCATAGTGGCATTAATCGCATTTTAACCATCCGACTCTCAAGACACACCCAGTAGAGATGAAAGAATCGATAATGAGCTGGAATAACTTAATCACTGTATGCTTGGGTTCATATAAATCAGAGTGATTTGTGTGTCATCTCTCTGCAGCCCTTTGGCACCGTGTTAAAATACAGGTTGTGTGAATCATCCTTGGAGGCTGTTCATCATAACCATCTCACAATATGGCTGTCTTTGTAAGCAAGTACCAAATGTAAGTAACTTTAATCAAAGTCAAAGACAGCAGTCAGCATTTCTGCCTGTGGTCTAAGACAGTTGAAAAATGATTACACAGTGATTAGGAGGACGCACTGTTTCAGTTTCACAACGACAACAACAAGGTGTGTGAGGTCTCAAATCACATGCATCCCCCTACAGGCTGTGACATGCTGTCAGTGTCCCAGACGAAAGCCAAGCCTGTACAGTCAGTAACAGCCTGACTACAGGTAAACCATCCATCAGCCCACTCCCAGTAACCAAACTGAAATGCAGATGTGCCGTGTACACACCATAATGTGGTAAAAGCGTCACAGCTCCTGTCATAAAACATACATGCCTGAACACGTCATCTACAGCCATGATCTTACATTTAAATCTGCTCTGACAGAGCACTTATATATGTTATTTAGCACTTTTCTGAAAAAAAGAATTAAATATCAATGTTGTCCTTGGATTTGGTTGCCTGCCATGAAGTGACTTCCTATGACAGCTCAGTATGTAATGTATGATCTTTGGTTCACAACCCTGAGCACACAGTTGCATATAGTTGGGGAAAAACAAGTGGGATGGGACTGATTATATTTGCTCATGTCTAATTCTACAACATTCACAGCATTTCACAAATATGCAGTGTGATCACTTTGTGTGGAATGGAAAACCATTATGCAAAATATGTCTCTAGGTCCCATGTAGGCAAATTGCCAAAGTGAGAGACAGAAATTTACCAGAAACATGGACGCAGGTTTCTTTTCACAGATGGCCCCAACACGTAAAATTACAAAAGCGTGTACAGATCCTAGCGCATGTGTAACAGAAGCTCTACAAATGAAATATTATGTATTCACAATCACAAGGATATGGAGGATAGCTGGCAATTGTATGAAAGCCAAGTGTTAACAGCCATGCTAATCTCTCCAGCCTTCTCTACCTTAATAAATCTTTCACCAAAGTGACAGATATCCTTGGGGGCTCTGAACACGTAGGTCAATATCACATGTCCACCAATAAGAAGCAGCTGCTTGTTTCCCTCTAATATTGAATAAATTGCAATGGATCAACTCATCTAAAAAAAAAAAAAAAAAAGAGCCCATCTGTGAACCACATACTTAACTGCAGTTCTCTACAGTGCTCCAAACTATTTTCTTTTCTTCCTTGTATCGACGGGGATAAAACTAATCTTAGAGTGACCAATAGCAAGAGAAAGTAACCAGTGAGACAAAGGTATGAAAAGAACGAACTGATTGCTTGGGTTAATATTTGAAGGTTGAGCACACAAACTAATCTACAGTGGAGCTGAAGTCTTACCAGGCCTGTGCGAGGCACAAATGACATCAAAATTTAGACCAAATACTCCCATGAAGTTGTAACAATCTTAGGCTGTACATAGCGTATCATAACCCCAGCAGCATCACTGTTCTATACAATGAATTTAAAGAAAAACTTTTTTTTTTTTAATTGATTGCCCAAACCAACCTGCTTGTGTATGCACGGTGTTCAGCACCACAGCAGTACTAACATCAACCCAAACACTCTGGGCCAGCATGATAATGAGATGTTTTTACACTATGAAATACTGGAGGGGCGGGAAAGGTCCACCCAGTGCAAACAAACACTCTTGTGAGGGTGGCTGAAAAACATGTTTGGCAACATAAGTACTTTTGTCAAAACACATCTCCTGATGGGGAGGAACCAGAAAGCAAATTCACATCTTGGTCATAAAGAAGTGTCGTAACCAACTGCTGAGGATAAAGCCGAAGATGTGAAAGCCTCCACTGCTGCCTGTCTGACCTGCAGCCTGGTGCAGTCCCAGGTAAACATTCCGCCATCCAGATGTCTGCAGCATGCATCAGGCCGAGACAAGACTAGACCTGTGACTCCTCCTTATCTCCACATGCCCCAGGCTCTGCCCATCCTAGCTCTGCAGCTTCTACAAACTGTCAGCATAGTTCAACTGTCAGGGCCAAACCAATGACATATCTCAACCAGGTGGAAGACTATTTTTTTTTTTTTTTTTTTTTTTTTTAAAAAGGTCATCAGGGAAATTTAATACTCCTCACGGTAACTTACAGCTTAATACAGACTCAGGCCTGTCATGTCACATCTGGCTCTGGAGGGGAAAAGTTGTCTTGGTTTAATTAGCCCCTGAATTTCTCATGATGTTACCAACAGCAAAGAGATTTTATAAGCTGTTTCTGTGGTACACCAGTGAGATGTTTCAAACTCTAAAGATATGAAAGTGAGCACCAGAACTTTTAAGGCCTTCTTTAGATGGAGTGAGACTCACCTGTTGCAGAGCTTTGTCCAGGGGCTCAGCGTTGATGATGTCGTCCAGAGTCAGTCCTGTCTCCTCTTTACACTGGTCTGTCAGCTCCAAAGTGTCTGGCTTGACGAGACATCTATGAAGCTTCCCGACCTGTGAAGGGATTTAACGATTCATGGCGAAGAATGCAGCGTGAAAAGAAAATGCTTATTTATTTGCAAATGTACATGCTTTAGCTCCCACATTCAGGAAATGAACTCTTTCAAACAATTCAAACAACGACAATATAGTTGCAAAAAGCACTTAATTGTAAATAAAGCGTTGTTTATATCATAGAAGCTGACATGCCAAACCAAAAAGGTGTGTTTTCTCCAATAGGGGAAAATTAACCCTCCTCACCTGCTTGTTAAATTTTGGTCGCACACCTGTAAGAGGTGAGCTAACGAGACGGCTGGACGGAGAACTGATGTAGCGTTAGCTAGCATTAGAGAAAGGCAGGCTACAGACGGTTTCAGAGAGCACACCATGTTGATTTAAATGTCAAACATACTGTTCCACTACAAGTAGACACTATGCCACAAACACTCTGGGTACATAAGAAACCGTACAACGAACGAACGGGTCAGAAAGGTCCGTACCTTTTTCTCATGTAGATCCACAATTTGCCACACCAAGAGAATTATTTCCCTCTCATCCGAACCCAGTTTACCCCCATTTGCACCAGCTGTTGCCCCAAAGAACACCACCAGAGTATCACTGTGCGAAGCCATCAGGGACCACAAGGGTAAAAACTACAATTAAAGCAAAGATTAAAATAAAAATAACACGAGGGTTCACCTTTTTCCAAGTGATAAGAAGAGCGAACAAAAGGACTGGAAACTCAATTGAGGTAAACGGAGACAGAAAAAGAGGGGAGATTATTTTCAGAGGAGCCACGAGAGAGTTTGCGGTCAGAGACTGTACCTGTTGCAGTACTTGAGTGTGTTATATCCAGAGATACTGGTTTAACTGGTAAAGAAGGGTGGAAATCCGTGTTTCTTTCACACGAACTCCATAACAAGCCCTGGAGTTTTTTTTCCTCTGAGTTACCTGTGTGGCTCGGCCTCTGCGCCAGGAAAGTCCCAGCGGTGTCGTCTATTGGCTGGTTTGCAAAGGTGAGGGCGGGACGCTGAGGTGAGTGCTGCAATCTCATTGGTCAGATCTGTTGAATCAGGAAATAGTCTGGCAAAACAGGGTCGTAATACTTCCATGAGGCATACAGCCTGCTGATATTTCACATTGACAATGAAGAGTAAATGAGTACTGTTAAATGCAGAACACCCACAGAGATACACCTGCACACACAGGGCAACTTTTTAATTTTGTGAGAGGATTTGTGTTCCAATAGGTTCATTATTTTCCATTTAGATTTGTTTTGTACTCTCTGGTCACCTATTCTTATTCCCCATCCTTGTATAAATAGTATTTTAGGCCAGAAATTCACACAAATTAATTTATTACATGTTCATTGCCTTACTAGATATTGCACAACTGCTTAACCTTTTTTTTTCCAGAGCGTACACTAGATATTTGCAGAAATTGCAAACATGCAGAACATTTCTTGTGTGATGTACCAGGGCACATCAGAGGTTTAATAAAGAATGGATGTTGTAGCAGCATACCTAAACTGATTCAACATTAAAATAACATTTTGGAGCACATACCCTGATTTCACCCTCTGGTTGAATCAATACACTCCTACACTACTACATGTACTTAGCAAAGCTTCTATAGGTTTGTTCAATATAAGGCAGCTATAGTGTAAAATATATTGTTTCTTACATGTTTTTAACTTATGTTCCTTATTCATCCTCTAAAAACCACAGTTTGATGTGGTACATAACCATTTCCTGATCACCATATTTGAAGTCTCTCATTCTTTTGCAAGACATAGCCTATTTGTTTATGTCCAGCAGCAGCTTTCATACTTGGGAAAAATATGGCACTTTGAAAGAGAACAATATACAATCAGTTTTTAATCACTCCACAGGTTCTTGCTGGCCTGGTTGAGTTTTCACTAGTCTTTGGCTTGGTTCCCAGAATTCCATGTTTTATTACTCCTGACACTCCCAGATCTGCTTGCTATGGGCCAGCAGACGGTGATGAATGCAAGGCTTTTTGTCTGTTCCCCTCCTTTCACTCATTTCAATCCCTCAATCACAAGAGTAATTCCCAGTGTCTCCTTCCTTATGTGGAAATCATTCTCCCCAGCTGAACCAGACTGATAAGTTGGGGGACACACACTGGGAAACACTTCGGCTGAAATCTTAGACATGTAACGATATTCTAGCAAAACAACAGTAGGAAACATTTATCTTCATGACATCACATAGTAGGCATGCTTATACATGTTGTCTGTCTGTGGCACTAAAATGACAAGCACAAGTCTTTCTTTCAGCAGGTGTAATTGGTCGAAAAGTTATATGTGGGCTACAAGTGAGAAGGCAACCTGTGTTAGCTGCTACCACACCCAGAAAATAGCTTTGCTTTGGTGCATGTGGTGACTTAGTTTGGTGTGACTGAGCCCGTGGGAAAAACAGTGTGTTACAACAACCAACACTTCTCAGTGAACTTCCAGGAAAATCAAGATTTGTGGCTCACTTGTCTCGACTGGCAGTTCTTGTCTCGTGGTGTCCTTTTGGGATGGGGCCTAGGAAAGAATGGATTATATTTAAAGGGAATACAGTAATCTTATTACCAAAATAAGTGATTCTTCATATAGCAGGATGGCAAGTATTGAAGCAAAAGGTATTGATTACATTTAACATATTGGTACAGTATTTTAAATGCCAAGGGGTATGTGGGAAAAAAACAAACTTAGAATCCACCCAAACATGAACAATAGGACAATGTGTTAATTTACGGAAATACTGCATAGACGTGTTGACAGAATACACATACGTTAAGCATATACCACACTGCTGCAGTGATGGTGTCTGATATGCATGCTGCTTCCTCATTCTGTGAGAAAAAGTCCAGTGTGTCTCAGAGGTAGCTTGTGTGATCTTGTCTGACATGCATTATTTTTCTCTGTCACACCCTTTGCTATCTGAAATCCTCCGCTGTCACTGTTGAAATGCTTCCCACTCACTTATGTTAAAGATCTCCAAAGAAGTGATGAACATTTTGCACAGTCGGTGTCACAACATACAAATGACAACCCATAAGAAAATCATTAATATAGAATGTCAATTCTTCCAAATATTCTTTTTTCAAAAACTTCAAAAAATACTTTGAGGTGTCCAGAAAAGGACACAGGCTATATGGTCACTTATATTTGAGGAACTGTAGTGTATCAGGAATACCAGTGTATATATTTGGTATATTAGTTATACCATGATGTAAGACTTTTAAAAGCAATCACATTGGCAAAAACAACATGTTAGTTAATTGGATTGATCTATAATAATAGTATTGAACATATTAAGCATTAAGGGTTCAGTTGAACTGAGTTACTCTGGTTTTCTGTTTGGTATTCATTGTCAGAGCAGAGATCCATTTACATTGGCTAAATATGAAATTACTTCTCCTGGAAATGCTTGGCTCCTTCCATTTATCACTTCATAGGCATGATAAGTTCTAGAAATTATCATCTCAGCATGACCCTTCACTGGATGAATTAATTTAACAGATATACAATGGGAAAGTGACATAAAAGTATTGTTATTTGTAGTATTATGAGGCCACACTGAAATGATGGCAAAACTAGATTATTACAAATACAGTGCTGTCACTACCATCTGCTGGTCAGTTGGTGACAACAGATTTTGTGTCCTCATGGCAACAGATAGTCTCAATATGCCATGATAATGATCTTTTGCACAACTGACCTGAAAAAAAAATCAGTAGATAAGCTTACATTGAACTGTCTCACTCCAAAGTGTAAGTTTGACTGTGACAAAACTTTAAGTCATGATTCCCCTTTTTGCTGCTCACCAAAAGGAAGAGGCAGTTTTTCATTTTGCAATCTCTTCATTGAGAGGAAGTTGAAAAAACTGTTGTCTGTAGTGCCATACCAGGGCAATTGTTACCTAATTTGTCACGAGTAAAAAACATTTTTACAGTGGTAGTAATTTTTTGGATTCCATAAGAAATCAAGACACGGAATTATAGGTAAATTTAAACAAAATTTTTGTTCATGATCTTGAGATGTTACAGCTCCTCAAAACATAAAGAGACAGCAAGATTAAAAATGTTGTAAAGTCCTGTCTTTATCAAGACATCTAAAATATTTCTCTTTGGCAATGGCAATGTCTTGAACAGAATTAATGACATAATCAATACAGTTTCTCTGGCATCAAAAAGATTGAGACTTGTCTTATGAGTTCACAATTTCTTATATTTGAATACTAAATGGCATAAATCTAAGTACATAATATGTAACATATTTATAAATATATGATTGCAATAATAAAAACACGTGAAGTGGGTCATTTACAGAATTTGACAAATATTGCACAGACAAACTGACATCCTGTTAATCTGTGCTGTAATTTCACACAAAATGATCTTAATTAAATGTACACTACATACAGTATACACAAGATTATCTACACAGACACACAGCACAGACCTATACATTTTCAATATCATGATGGATTATTTTCACACATTTTTATTAATATGTTCATTTGGTCTTTAGACTCCGACACACACTGAGAGCTGTGGGTCTGATTGCTGTGTCTCTTGGACACAAAGGACATTTCTCTATTGCCCTCGCCTGGGGAGGTGCTGGAGATGTGGCGGAACAGCTTCTGGATGCCGGTGTCACGCAGGGAACTCCTGAAGGAGCGAGCTGCAAACATGTAGAGGATGGGGTTAACAGTGCTGCTGATGAAGACCATGGCTCCAGCAATGAAGGTCATGGTGCTCCTGACATTCTCCAGACTATTTGCTGTATCGGAGAAGGAGTCTTGGATGGCCAGATTGATGAGCGAGAGGATATTTCCTATGTGATGAGGTGTCCAACAAATGGCAAACACAACCACTACACTGGCAATAAGAACAGTTGACTTGCGCTTAGACTTAAAGGTCATCTGAGTAATCCGGCTGCAGAGGCAGCCATAACAGACCACCAGGATGGAGAAGGGCAATATGTAACCCACCAGGGTCTCTAGCAGCACACACACCAGCTCCTGGGTCACAGAAGTGTACTGCCGGTACAGACAGTGCTCCTGACCGGAATCCTTCCCTAAAACCTGAGTTGGGATGACAGGTATGCTGAACAAGAAAGCTGCAGTCCACAAAGTCAGCAGTACTTTATTCAGAGCTTTTTTCCTTTTCCAGTCAGCTGAGGCAAAAGGATAGCGCACAGCCACAAAACGTTCCACACTCATGAGGGTGATGAGGAAAACGCTGCTGTACATGCAGGCATTGATCATGAACACCATGGCTTTGCAGGAGGCCTCTCCAAACACCCAGGAGTGGGCCAGAGAGTAGATCCACAGAGGCAGGGTGATGAGGACCAGCAGGTCCGCAGCAGCCAGGTGAAGAATGAGCACCACAGTGTGGGAACGCTGCTTGACGTGTCTCAGGATGGTCCAGATCACCAGAACGTTTCCCGGAGCTCCTATCAGAAAGGACAGACCCAGGATCACACAAGCCACTGCTGTCGCACCATCGAACTCCTCAGGGGCCATTTCCTCTGAAGAAGACGGGTCAGCTGAGTGGTTCATGCTGCAAGTGTATGTGCTGACAGTGGTGTCTGCATGAAAAGAAAAACGAAGTGCTGTACAAGCAAATCTTCACTTCCCTTTAAGAATAGACTGCACAGGAACAGGGTTTCCTCACAGGCCTATTTGAGACACAGAGAGGTGATTCATGCAAGCGTCATAAGTTCATCCTTCACCTAAGATCAGAAATTATGGTTGAAAAAAGTGCTTAGAAAACAGTTTCAAAAGAAAAATCCTCTGACAGAATTTTATGATCAAAAATTGAAATGACCTCAGCTGCTCCATCAGACAGAAAGCAGGGACACAATAACATTAAGAGAGGTAATTTAATGAGTATGTGCATTAAACTAGATGGAGAACCACAACAACATTTTTGATCACAAGATAATAAATATTCCAAATCTGATGTCCTTTTAATCATGTATTTCACTTTAATTTTCTGACCTGATGCCTGATAACTAAGGCCTGAATAATGAGATGTGTCAGGCTGTGCGTCAGGGAGGATTCACTGAAAATATATGACTGAAAGCTTTTACAGGCATTGGTGCTTTTTAACTGCTTGCCCTTCACTTTTGTGTTTGTGGTGCTGACATGTATACTGTAAAGATTCCTGATCTGTGCGAGTATTTGACTCAAAATTTTACTCAATTTAACTCTTGGCCCACATGCATTGTTGCAAACAAATGGCTGCAGTTGAATATGGTTTATGGAAATCATTGCCTCTTATTCAGAATAAAATATGACTGTGTTGTTTTGAATGACTTATAATTAACCTTTGTCTTCTTAGCATATACTGTACAGTTTTTTTGGAATGTTTTTTGCTTAAATAGTTCCCTTTATTAGGGCCTATTTTTCAATTCAAGAGTTGAATGATGAATGAATGAAAATAAGCTTGAATGATATCATGTTTAAATAATAGAATTGAAATGAAATAACTGTAGCATTTTCCAAGAACATTTAGAGGTGCCCAGCACCGAGATAGTTGCCAGGGGGAGGCAGCTGGCTTGCCACGCCTGACTTATCCCCCGGTCAAAATAATTTTGCAAATAATTTCAAAGTTTGTGGTTGTAAATTATCCTTTGTAAACCTGTAAATTAAATCTACATGAGAAATTCAAGTTTGTACATTTGTAAAAAAAAAAAAAAAAAGATGTTGAAAGTGTTGAAAAGATTTGTATTTGTTAGAAAAAGAGACAATTTTTTTCCAAAAATAAAATACAAATCTCTCAACACAAGCACATTTTTTTCACAGGCACAAATTTGTATTTAACATGTAGATTTATTTTACAAGTTTACAAAGGTGGATTTACTTAAACTTTGGAATTATTTGTGAACATCTCTCTACATGTTCAAAATCATTTTGACCCTAAGATAAGTCAGTGGATAAGTGCAGTCATGCAAAGTAATGTGACTTTTAACTGTAGCTACATTGAACAACAGAGTTTGTTTTTAAAAACGTTTGCTGCTAACGTAACATACATATGTTCACATGCAGCATAAAGCAGGCTATGTTAAGTTTAAGTGGTATTTACTGGTGCTAATAAAAATGAGAGCTTAGTTCACCCTATGTCTAATGCTAGGTGGCACTTCTTAGTGACAAGTACAAACATATTACAATAGTTAATTTTGTAGTAGTATCCATCTGTTGTTGTTGAATCCAACTCCAGAATCCAGCATGACCTCCTGTCCACCACCAGGCAAATGGGCTCAAATTAGAGTCAAAAACATTTTGAGTTTGGAAAGCGATGTTCACAAATTATTCCAAATTTTGTAAATCTGTGAAATAATCTTCATCATAAGAAATTCAAGTATGTCCATTTGTACAAAAGATTTGCATTTGTAAAAAAAAAATTGTGCACGTGTAGAAGACATTGGGTTTTGTAAAAAGAAAAAAGAGACTGCATGAATAAGAACTGTGAACAAATGATACTGGTGAGGAAAGACAAATGTATTGTGAAAGAGGAAATGCTTTTGTCAACATCTGTTAACAGATACAGAACAGAAAACTGTTCCCACACAGTGTAGTACACTGAAGTTACAAGTAGGATTTTGGCCCTATTTTTACACCTGAATCTGATTGGACAGTGACAGCCCAATCACAAAGCAGAGTCCAATCAGAATGCAGGTGCTTTCACCTTCAGTGCAAATCCTGAAAGGTTTAATAGATTTTCAAGATGGACGACAGTGTGGGCTTGAAAATCTTCTAGAGAAAGTTACACAAACAAAAAAATGGAAGTTGTACTTAATCTTTATACATTTACCGTTGCTTTGACAAATCTTTATGAGAGTATGTGTACTCAAAATAATAAGTTGGTAAAAACACTCCACAATTGTGGCAATTTTAAATTAAGACAGCAAAACATTTTTGAGTTCAGCATAACAACAACAAACTGTTTTTTATAATTTCATGTTTTTATTTTGTAAAATGAACACATTCTTTTCATTTGATTGAACAGGAAAGTGACTACTGGTCATCTCAATGTAAAAACATTTAGTGCATATTTTTTACATATTTTAGTTATTCAGCTATCAAAAATGTAAACAAAGTGCACAATGTATGTCTTGTTAGTTGGCCTTGAACTCATTAGGCTATATTGACTATATAAATTCAAGTAAATTTTACTCAAAAATTTAATATTTTGGATTTGAGTGTTGTGTCAAGTGAACATTAACCTTTGAAGTCATTTTAACACTCAACATTGTCTGGAGTTTAAAATAAAATTGTGTCACAAATGGATTGGTGTTTACAGTGTAATTCAAACTTCATTGCTTTATGAATAGCCTGAAATGTGCATGGAACTTGAACTGATTAAAGAAAATCTATGAAGATTGTGAAAAAGCTGAATTAATGTGTAAAAATTCATACAATTGTGACCTGTTTAAAGTTTGAATGATGTTCATCACAGTATCAGGGATTCAGTTTTTCTCACACAGATCTGACATTAGTTCTACTTGTGTACATGCTGCCCTCTGGCCTGTCTGCTGTTGTACTACCAGCTCCCTGAGTTTGTTGGTATGAGCGGCCATTTCCTGGAACAGTCTGGTGAGTCGGGACTCCTCCAGACTGCCTCGAATGTTCCTTGCGAAGAAGGCATATAACACAGGATTCACTGAACTGCTAATGAATACAAGGGCACCAGAGGTAAAGACAATACTCTTTGGCACACATTCATGTTCTCTACCTGATTCTAAGATGCAAACCAGATCAATAATGTTGATAATATGGTAAGGCAACCAGCACAGAGTAAAGGCTATTACCACTGCATTGACAAGAACCATGGATTTCTGTTTGGTGTTGTAACTCATTTTCTGGAGCTGGGCAGCTACTAGACAGTAACATGTACTAAGGATAATGAAAGGAACCACAAAGCCCCCAAAGGTCTCCAGGCATAAGAAGATGATCGCTTGAGTCACAGAGCTGAATTCCTTCATAAAACACTGCTCAGTTCCACTATCTTCATCCAAAGGCTGAGTTAATAAAACAGGTACTCCCAGAAGGATAGCAAGTAGCCACAAAAGTATGAGACATTTGTTCATAACACTCTTGGTCTTCCAGCGCTTCATCACAAATGGATGGCAGATGGCTACAAAGCGCTCCACACTCATAAGGGTGATGAAGAAGATGCTGCTAAACATGCACACACTGATAATGTACACCAAGGCTATACAGGAGGCCCATCCGAACACCCAGGTGTGTACCAGAGAGTAGATCCACAGAGGCAGGGTGATGAGGACCAGCAGGTCTGCAGCAGCCAGGTGCAGGATAAGCACCACAGTGTGGGAACGCTGCTTGACGTGTCTCAGGATGGTCCAGATCACCAGAACGTTTCCCGGAGCTCCTATCAGAAAGGACAGACCCAGGATCACACAAGCCACTGCTGTCGCACCATCAAACTCCTCAGGGGCCATTTCCTTTGAAAAAGACGGGTCAGCTGAGTTGTTCATGCAGTGTATGTGCTGACAGTGGTGTCTGCATGAAAAGAAAAACGAAGCGCGGTACAAACAAGTCTTCACTTCCCCTTACAGATAAACTGAGGAAGAACTCAGTTTTGGATGATGATTTATGCGTTAATCATAGATCCTTGTCCAATAGAATGGAAAGGCTAAGGAAACTGATCAGTCTACTATAGACCGCTGATCTATTGAGGAGCCCTCCACATTCTTTGCTGTATTGTTCATTTTAGTAAACTGAAGGTATCTAAAAAAAATTATAAGCAATGTTATTGCTTAAGTTTAAAGGTATATTTGATTGCCATGCAATGATTTACTTTGCATGGCAAACAAAAAAGTCAAAGGTCTTTTATAGTTCACTGGCCAGGCTTCAACTATCCTTCTGAGGAAATCTGCTCTTACTTTTGGTTGTAATTTTGTTGTTCTATTTCGTTTGTTTTCTTGTTTGTTTGCTTCCTAAAAAAAACCTTGGACTGTATCCAGCTTTTCAGGGAGAAAGTGCTAGATTTCTGAGATTAAATAATTTTTTGTACTTTCCTAAAAGCAGACTATATTTTCTACAAATGATCACTGCCAGCAGACACTGACCACCCTATAATCACCTGTTGAGAAATAAACATTATGAATGAAAACAATGAAAAGACTGATCACACTACCTCCAGGAATACTCCAGCTGAGCTGAAAGAAATGCAGGAATTATTTTCTTCTTGTCCAAAAAATTGTGCCAATATCTCTCTATATCTATCTCTCTCTTTTTTTTCCATTATTAATTTATTTGCAATATTTCTGATATGGAAAGCGAAGCTGCTGTCCTTAATGTCTCTTACACTTATGTCTCTTACACTTATTCTCCCTTTACAACCTTTGCATTTGCATCTGTAACAACAAACACACACCTTAACTTTGGACTCTCTGCGAATTCGATCTATTGCATAGATGGAAACAATTTGGATAGTTAATTATTACCTTCACAACACACACTTCACTCATAGGGCCAGAATTATTCCTGAGCCCAGAACACTATGGAATATTTTTTCTAATATTAAGCCCTTGTCCTTCATTATCTTTAACTTCCACAATTATCACACTATGCCATTAAGGAAATGTTTGAAATATTCTTTGCTACTCAGCTCCTTCGATTTATACAATATTAATTTGACAACTGGTGCAATATTTCCTTGTGTTCTCCTATTAACATTTGTTATAGACTACAGGTAGAGCTACAGAAGCTGATCATGCTTTAATTTTCACTTTTGGTGTTTAGCAATCTGTAGCCCAACTTAAATCCTGCTATTACAGTTTATGGTTTAATTATGTCAGTGCTACATCTAGCTTCAGATTGTAGCCATGTTTTACATCAGACTGTAATCTGTGTGTGTGTGTGTATGATACTAAGATTAAGACTATAATTCATTCACGTTATAAATTCCTCTCGCAGCTGATTCAATATCACACAGAAATTATATCAGAAAGTGTATTTAACTAAATGTTAAGTCAAAAAAGTTAAATTTTTATACTTTGACACAACTTTAATCCCCCCACCCACCAAAAAATGCATGATCAGAAATGACAAACCTCCAGTGGGAGAACTTGTGGTTGTATTGGGTTCTGTAATGGTTGTAACATCAGCTACAACAGTTATAATAAAATGTTTCTTTGATGTAGTTTCTTTTTTTTTAAGGTAGACCAGTGTCTGTTAACCTAATAGTTGGGGTGTTGGTATTGATGGGAAACTTGGCAGTAAACTATGTGTCAGGTAAATGCATTGAAAATTGAGATGTTAAAAGGTGAAAGGGGGCACAAACAAACAGGTACATTCTCTTGACAGGTACCTATAAGTAAATGTGCTAGCAGGCGCATGGTCCTTTAAAAGGCCTGGTCTTGCCTACAGAAAGTTCCCCACAAAAGGCAGCAATTTATACAATAGTTTGTTGAAATATAAGATTGTGAAATACTTTATATTAAGTTTTAGTATTTAACCCAAAGCAATTCATGTGACATGAAACTTGAGACTTCATTCAAATAGGGCTCATATATTCCATTGGAGAAATATCTATATAAGCTGAGATGAGATGTTTTTACTCGTTATAACGTTAAAGTCGTCATGATGACGTTGTTACAATGCGCAGCTTAGACAGCCTCCCCTCAGCCAGCTGCCTGCTCGGCGAAATAAACATGACGATGTTGTCAACCACGATTTTTTCAGTGCAACAGCACTAAAAGTACAGCACTGAACACAGCAAGGGACGTTGGAAATTATCTTTAACTAAGTTTGTGACAAACTGTAAGTGACGATTTAATACGGGCTTGATGTCTGGTGCTTGCTAACAGAGGCTAGCTGCGTAGCTAATATTAGCTAACAAGTTAGCTAGTATTAGCTAACGTTAGGGGCGTGAGCCGGTGAGCTAGTTCGCGTCAGCTCTACAAGGGTATTTATGTTTGCCAGTTTGGTCGGTGTATTCACTTTCTTTAGCTGGATTAACCTATTACATATCACCAGAGGCAGGCCAGTACGGGTTTAATTTGCACACGTACCAACTATATGGAGCTATCATGAAGTTAGCCTGCTTCAGAACTGAGAGTAAGGCGGCTAACATATCCGGTTAACGTTAGTCTTCTAACTTCTTGGAAACTACCAAGATAATGCTGCTTTCGTGTCCCAAGTGACTTTTTCAAAATCATTGCTAACTCATATACTAACACGAATTACCCACGATCTGTGCTAGCACTTTTGTATCACTGTATTGTTTACGCTGAGTTCAGTAAAGTTTGGCCAGCGTTAGCTAACTCAGTTCTACCCTCACAGGTTGTTTGAGTGCTGTGATCGGGACAAACACCATTTTCAGAAGTTGAGAAGTGGACCGTCAATACTGCAATGCCGCTGCTGTTTTTGGAGAGGTTTCCATGGCCCAGCCTGCAGACCTACACAGTACTGAGTGTGGTTTTGCTTGCTGGCAGCATCTTCAGTGCCTACACCACTGTGACTGATCCAGGCTTTGGGGCCCTGGAAACTGATGAAACACCAACTCCCTCTGAAACGAACCTTGAACATTTAAACAATGATATTAGTAATACAGAATTGGCAACCACTGTCCTGTGGTATCTTGTCACTGACAGTCTCTTTGTATGGGTGAGTGTTACCCAGTTTAATACTTTGCGCTGTTTGATAAGGTGATGTTCTTCAAAAACTAACTGCCACTTTTTTCTGGTGGTTTCCTAGGTGTTGGTCAACACATTCTGCTGCTCTTTGATGTTAATTGCGAAAATGATTCAGTATGTGGTGTTCGGACCACTTAGAGTGAGTGAGAAGCAGGTGAGTCTGTGTTTTTAACAGTGTTGAAATGATGAATGCAGCCACTTTCATTTCTGAGGTTATTAACCTCTTCCAAAAAAGGTGCAAATGGCCTTTGCAGCTTTTCTTCAGCGTAGACCTCATTTGCTCTGTTTTTATTCCTCAGCACCTCAAAGATAAATTCTGGAACTTCATCTTCTACAAGTTTATTTTCATCTTTGGCGTACTGAACGTACAGACAGTGGAGGAAGTGGTCATGTGGTGTTTGTGGTTCTCTGCCCTGGTTTTTCTCCACCTCATGGTTCAGCTCTGCAAAGATCGATTTGAATACGTAAGTGTTATCAAATACACTTTTGTTTTTTTTTACTCTCTCTAGTGCCCTAAAGCATAATTAATGACATCCTCATATGATAATCTAGGGCTGGATCCTGTATAGTTAGGCCATTTTATGTTGTCAGAACTGAATGCTGTTTCAAAAGGCTGTCTGCCATGAAAGAAAACACCTTTGAAGATGACTTGTCATGGTGAAGGACATTGTTGTCATGGTACCTGGAGATTATTTGCTTTTTTTGCTATAGACTCTTCAAGCACGTTGAGCTGGTACTTGTTACAAATGACAAACACTTGTTCAGGAATGTCAGTTAGAAACAGTATACTGACGTTCTCACCATTCTTATGTAGATGTAGGCACTGGAAATGGTCAGTGTGGCATTAAGCAGGTATAGACAGCTATATAATTAACAGAAATAACCCAGGAGCTTTTTCACAAAAGTGTACATATACTACAAGTTTTCTTTGTTTCTTAGCTATGAAACACCATAGAGGGTAGTAGATGGCCTAATTATCACTGTATGAAATCTGATCTTATTTAGGCCACACAGTAAACATTATAGGAGTAGATGTACATTCTTTGTGAATGCCTTGTTTCTCATAAGAACTGAGAGTAAATGCTAGGTGGCAAAAAGCCTGACATTTGATGACACCTGACAAGTGCACCTACAAATTTCATTCACTAGTCACACTTAAAAAGGTCTCCCAAAGGTCTACCAGTGACTGTACTCTTGTCAGTTCTGGATCTATTAATAGTTCCCTTGTACTGGCATGTTAGGCTACTGATACAGTTTCAGTCACTACATTGACATGTCTCTGTATCAGTTTGTGCTCTGCATGTTGGGGGAAAACAAAATATCAGATTCAATCACCTCCTTACAAGCAAAGACATTTAAAATGGGCATAAACCTGGTATATTGCCTGAGACTTAACACTGACTGGCTTAGTGTACCAGAAGATCGTTTCTGCCTGCTGTGCTGTAAAATATACACCAGTTTGTGAGTGTAAATGTTTCAGGTTAAAGACTGTCAGTTGTGTCAGCCCAGCTGTCTTCCTCCCCATTTCCTCATTTCTGTGGGATCTTACTTTGGGGGGTTAAACTGGGTTAAACTACTTAAGATGATAGGTGCTGAATATCGTGTTGTGAGTGTGTTGGTGAAACCTTGTGGTATTACGATTTTACAGAATTGATAAAAAAAACTTTTTTTTATTTTTTCAGCTCGGCTGTTTAAATGTTTGTATTGAGGTTTTAATGTGTATTCTATACACTCTAGACAATGTTAGCTGTCAGTTTACAGACTTTACATCGACATTGTAGGGGTTATGTGTGAGGAGTTTTTCTTTAATTCTTTTTTTTTTTTTTTTTTGTGAATGGGTTGTGTAAAATTTGGAAGGGAAAAATTCACACATGTAGAGTATGGTGCAGAGCCTGATACTGAAACATTCTTGTTGATCCGTGGTCAGTAGTGTATGACTGTATGTAAGCAAGTTTAAACCTAAAATAACAACACTTCTTTTATTGCCAAAAATATCTGTAGTATGAGATTGTGAGCTTTAAAGAAAAACACTTCTAAATTCTTCCTGAAATCCACTGTAAATTCCCATATAGTTAAGACTAGTCTATATTTGAGGACAAACCTAAACTTCCCAGAAACCTTAAGGAAAAGTAAAAACTTTGAGAGAAAGCCACAAACCACCTATAATCCACATTTCTTCCCTACAGCTGTCATTCTCCCCCTCCACTCCCATGAACAGCCATGTGCGAGTGCTTTGTCTGCTGGTCTCCCTGCTGTTGGACTGCTGTGGCCTGGCTGTGGTCTGTGGTCTGCTGGGAGCGTCCCATGGCATGCACACGCTCTCCTTTATGGCAGCAGAGGTGAGAACCTGGAGCCACAACTGTATAGTAAAATTGAGGTCTGCTGTGTGGACAAAGGCATTTTGATCACATTTAGCACAGATGATTGTGGACAGTTTATATCATTCAAGCTTTTGTTTTGGACCATGTATTTGTTAAAGACTTATTGTTTTATTTAAAGTGCTTGTGTCTCAAATAGGGCTGGCCAAATCAGTAAAATGTTCAATGGTAAAATTAAGATGGAGACATAAAAAAACATACTGCATTTCTATATCACGCAACAGAAAATACCATTGCATGAAATTGTTTTCAGGGATCAAGTTTTGCTGTATCATTGCTATCTTGTGCAAAGTTTAGAACAATTGCCATGGTCCGCCATATTGTAAACACTTCAAACCCTTTTATGGCAGACAGTTAGACATTGTAGCAGGAAAAGCACAGTTGTAATAAAGTAATTAATAATGGTTACATTTCATTTAAGTGTGCCAGTTCCAGGGACTTGGTGTTGTGCATACTGGCTCATGAGCGTGACTTATGGGTGCACTGGAGTTACAACAGTGCATTTTCTGTTATGACGAGTCAAAGTGTCTTCTTATTTAATGCAGAACCTGAAGTCACCAAAAGGGAATACATAATTTTAAGCCAAGTTTAGTTAGAAAAACAAATTACAAAGTACAAAACATTCCTTCACCATTTCCCTCATGTATTCTTTTTAAAGTCATAACTGTTGTGTAATATTTTGTATTGTTATAGATGTTAATTACACTTAAAGAACTGTATGAAGTTCACCTGTGTGTTTTTGTCTCCAGTGTCTGCTGGTGACTGTACGCACTGGGCATGTCATCACGCGGTAAGTCCCTTAAAGCCTTATTACACATGCATGCTCGTGCACACACTATAGCAGTATGGATGAGATAGCCTCGACACATTTAGAATTGGGCTACTGTTAGCAACACCACATGTTTTCCTCTGGTTTCATTAGCACCAAAGTGAAAGACTTCTTTGTCATAAAAAGGGAGGTTAGGACTTAACAACTCTAAACAACTCACATCAGCTGAGACACTCATTGGTCCAGTAGCTTTAGTCTAACATTAAAACTTGTAAACCGTTTTTGTCACTTGCAAGGCTGCAGCTTGGGACATAGCAAAATAATGTCTGTGCTGAACTGTCCTGAACGTGAACAATAAAAGATGTGCTTGTTTCATATTGTTACTCTGGTTTGTGTTTAACTTGTGTCACTACACATAGTAGATTATGAGTTGAGCAGCATTGGACTATGTTCACTACTTTGTCTTAATCAAGCATTTTGTTTTTTAGAGAAAATTGTGTGGATATTTCAAACTTGTATGGTCTCTCATTTTTAGTTGGTTAATCCATCCATCCATTTTCCACCTCTTATATGGGTCCAATTAAATTAGTGCCTAATCAAATACTTATATCAGTAGGAATTATTTTTATTCAATAATAATACAAAATTCTAGGCTATATCATTCCTTATGGTTTCCCATTTTCATTTCACTTTAGCCTGGACCATAAAACAGGTGTTAAATTGCATTTTATGAGGTCTTAAAAAGTCTTGAATTTAATTTGGCGAACCCCGCAGAAACCTATAAATATCACCTGTGTGTCATGGTGTTAAAAGAATTGGGCATGTCCCCTCAGGTACTCCATTCATCTGTGGGATCTAAACCATCCAGGCACTTGGGAGAGTAAGGGAACATATGTCTACTACACAGACTTCATCATGGAGCTAGCTATGTTGTTTCTGGACCTCATGCACCATATCCATATGCTGGTAAGATACACATAATAAACAGGTGTAGGCATGTAATGTTATGAAAATTCTCCCTGTGTCTCTTGACAGTCTCCCAATCTTCCATCTTTTCTGTCTGTACTGTCTCATTAGCTTTTTGGTAACATCTGGCTGTCCATGGCAAGCTTGGTTATCTTCATGCAGCTGCGGTATCTCTTCCATGAGGTCCAGCGCCGTGTTCGCCGACACAAGAACTATCTTCGTGTCATCAACAACATGGAAGCCAGGTGACACTGTGTTTTGATTTGGTTATTTTTCTATTTTTAACTCATGTTTTGTGGTTCATGTTTGTTTGATTTGGTTATTTTTAATGAAAGCTTTGTGTTTCCCATTGATTGTTACTTGTTTCATCATTATTTGCATTTACTGCAAACTTTTTTTTATGCAGGTTTGCTGTTGCTACTGCGGAAGAGCTGGCAGCTAATGATGATGATTGTGCCATATGCTGGGATACCATGTTGACCGCACGCAAACTACCCTGTGGCCATCTCTTCCACAAGTAAAGGGCTTTTTAAACGAGAAGTTGCATATAGCTGCGTTCAGACCTTGCAGGGAGTCTTTTACTGGTATCACTGACCTGTGGCTCAGTCTAGAAAAAGTTTTTCTTCTCTTAACATAATAAAAATGACCAAAGGAGAGACTGCACCAGAAACCTGATTGCACAGCAGTCTTTAGCTTTAAAATTGTTAGCTTCAGTAAGACACACTGCACAGATCCTGATGTTTAGCTACTGAATACTTGTCCTGATGCTTAAATAAATGTCAAGTTTTTATACAGTGAAACGCCATAACAACATTTTTGACTTGTGTGTGAACGTGTTCTTCCAGCTCTTGTTTGCGTTCATGGCTCGAGCAGGACACCTCGTGTCCAACGTGTCGGACATCCCTGAACATTAATGGGGATGGTGGCCAGGCGAGGGGCCAGCAGCAGGGCGGAGGTTTGGAAGACAACATTGGCCCAGTAGGAGCCGCTCCAGATGCCAGACCTCATATTAACCAACACAACCACTTCTTCCACTTTGATGGTAAGTCTGTCAGACACATTCCAAGGATGAATGTGGTCATGGAGTTAACTGACACAGATAGGCTGTGTGTGAGATAATGAATTATAAAATCCATATATTATCTTACAGGATCTCGCATTGCCAGCTGGCTGCCCAGTTTCTCAGTGGAAGTAATGCACACTACCAATATCTTGGGTATTGCTCAGGCCAACAACTCCCAGCTCATGGCAATGGTGAGTTCATGTTTAAAGTCTGATGGAAGTTTGGGTGATTTTAAGAGAGATGATACACAGATAGCAGTTTGAACCAGGAGTTAAGTCTTTTTTTTTTTTTTTGATACATTATTTGCATAAGCCAATGCTATGATCATTTTGTTCTTAACATTTTTACTTTGAATTCCTGGTAAATGCTTGGTAGTGATAATTTACATGGTGATAACTTCTATTTTAAATCAATAGATTCAGCAAAACCTGTTAATTACAAAAGATATTTAAAGTATATTTAAACAGAAGATTCCAAGTATTTTGAATGGGTTTATACTGGTAAATCACTAATACTGTAAATGGTGTTAAGCTTAAAAAATATCCAGTTTTAACTTTTAATTATGTTGTTCTTCCCTCTTCATCTATCTTTTTCTAATGCTCACTTCACTTTTAATGTAACTTCTGGTCATCAGGCCCATCAGATCCAAGAGATGTTCCCTCAGGTGCCCTCCTACCTGGTAATGCAGGACCTGCAGTTGACCCGCTCTGTGGAGGTCACCACTGACAACATCCTGGAGGGACGCATCCAGGTGCCTTTCCCAACACAGGTCAGTAAACTGGGGGTTAAATGTTAACAACAATGTGAACAGCTCTCCATTCCATGTTAATCACTGTTGACATCTGTGGTTTTCTTGAAAGGCAGAATACATTCAATCTTTTACACATTATGTCCTCCTTCTTTAGGCCATAGAACGTGCACCTATACAGGTGGGCCCTGCATCAGATGAGCAGGCAGGGCCCAGTGGAGCAGCTGAGCAGGGCCTCAGCGAGCCAGACAACATGGAGGTCAGAGGAGGTCGCTTCTCTAAGTCGGCTGAGGAGAGGCAGAAGATGCTGAAGCAGAGGAAAGAGGAGATGCTCCAGCATGCACGCAGGTTGGTAGACTGCTGGTTGGAGTTTTCTACTTCATACAGTAGGAAGGGGTGCTTTCATAATGCTTTCTTTCTGGTGTTTTTGAAAATGAATTTTTATGGACAGGAGTGTGACCACACTTGATTGTGTATCAAAGCTGTAAATATAATTTTTTGTGAAAGAAAACCTTTCCTTGTGAGACAGGTTTGTCTCAGTCTGTGAACCAAGGCCAGACAAACAAAATGTTTAAAGGCTTTTCTTTCTTGGACAGCAGAATAGCTGACAGGCCCAGTTGTACAGAAATAACAAGTAGTAACATGACATGGTTTTTAAACATTTGTTCACAAATTTTCACTACTTCCCTATAGGAGATACTTGAACAAAAGTCCAGAGGACCAGGATGAGGATTTGCCTGGACTTGAGGAGGACATTGTCCCAGAGTTGGACTCAACTGTGCTGAGACGTAGAACCGTGGCAGCAGCTGCAGAGAGACGCATGCAAAACCAACAAGACCCTTCACCCTGATACAAAGGTTGGCTTGAGCTGAAGAGTCTACCACATCATCATCCCAAGGGACACCAACAGAGCTATTTCAACCTCCCCCCATTTGGTGTACAGTCAATGGTCATCACCTATTCTACACTATAATTAAAAAGCATTGCAAACATGGCCATTGGACTGTTTTGGGCTGCCTAAATAAGGTGGGACTATTGTGAATAGCCTCTGCATCACTGATTCAGGCCTGAGTATTTGGAGCATTATATAAATCGTTGGGTGCAAATCAAGAAATGCAAAGTTGCATTGCCCTTTATTCTCATGCCACACCTTGCAACCACCAGCTTCAATAGAGAGTCATTATCTGCTAAGACTGAGACTGGCTTTCAAAAATGAGCATGCTTTGCATTCAGGAGATTTCAGGAGTATTTTATGAAAAGTTTGAAGGTGTCATCATTAGATAAAGCTACTGTTTGAGTCCTTGTTTGTTTTCTTTTTATCAGACTTTTTTTTCTCCACTTTTTTTGCTCATGGCGGAAAACTTTGTATTCTGGATGGAGAAACTCATCTGTCGATTTGTGTGTTATATTCTGAGTTTCAACTGTGAATTAAGTGTAGGCAAAATAACACGTTTTTATTTCTTACCTCAGTGTAAGAGAATGTCACTTTAGTATTGTTCAGCCTTCTGTCAAATATGAATGTTTCTATCACAAAATAATGCTGCAAACAAAGTGTTTTTGACCCACCTGGGTTTTTCTGTATTTAGTGTGTAATATCATCCATTGCAAACAATTTGCATTTTGTTATTTAACTAGAGGGGGGAGTTGGCATGTAAATCTTTGTTTTCTAATAGTGGTCCCTTGAGATGCATAGGTAACAAAGGGGATGTATTACATTTTGTACAAATAGAATGGGTATCATCTTCTCAGTCTTTCTTAAATTCCCACTGCTGTTGAGCTGTGAAAATATTCTTTTCAGTTGAGTGTGAGGTTATTGGCCGTCTGTGTCTACCATATTTTAAGGTGTGTAGAAATGATTAAGTCTGCGGCAGCTGTACTTGCCTCACTGTATTTTGAAGATGTTTTGCAACTATTTCAACAGTCTTCATCAGCTCTATAGGGGAAGATCTTGTTCTTCTTCCAGTAGAAATGGTAAAGCCTCTTGGATGAGCAGCAAAACATTTTCATGACTTAACAGCAAATCAGTTGCGTTTGATATAATACTTCTAGATATGATGCGACCTGAATGACTGAGAATTTTGATGAAGAAATTTCTTGACAGTTTTTATTTGCCCATCCTTTGTCTACTCACATTGAGGAGTGTTAATCAAAAAATCATACCAGCGGGGAACATAATCATCCTCTGCTAAAATATGTTATTACAAAAATGTACAGCAATGTACAATATGGACTAGACCCTTGAAGTTTTCTGGGTATTGTCAAATTTCACTGAATCTGTAGCTGGTTGAGACATATCAACGGACGCAAATATGGGGACTGTGTGTATTATAAATGTTTAATTTCTGTGATTACTGTGCAGGGGCAGTTTGGGGTGAGATATGCATGAACCTAGACAAGTGCTTTTGTTTCCTTCCACTTTATCCCAAAGAGCAGCCTACGAACTTCCACTAAAAGCTGAAGTGTTGTGATCTTAATTGTGTTCATTTTATTGCTCAAACTCTGTTTGGGGGTGTTGTAAGACGACACAATATAGGACTTTGATTCAGATATCACTTAATCAAAATGGAAAAAAAAGAAATTGAACAGTTTTTTTTTTTTCATTTTCCGTTTGTCATTCAGTTACTTAACAACTTTTAATATCCATGATATTTTTTTCTTATTCATGGGTTATCTTTCATAACCATTGCTTATTTAATCAAAACTGAAATACTTTTTTGGACTGAGCTTTCATGTATTTTTGTGCCTAAATTAAGAATGGTTCAGTTATGGATAATTTCTGTAAATCTAGTTTTTGTAAAATATGTTAATACAAAAGACTCAATAAACAGCTTCTACAGCTTTTTAACAAAAGAACAGTGGTAATTGAATCTTTATTTTCTTGAGACGAACCCACCTCTGCTCTGGATTTGGTATTGATGTCTCTATTATCCAAACACTAGAGCTATTCTGCTCTATTCAATTTCTTTGCAAATAAACTCATTCGAATCCACAAGTGGCAGTTTAAGTCTCTTCTGTTAAGACACCCTCTGGGGGACACGGCAGTATTTAGTACCCTCCACCTTTGAATGTATTAGTCTAATATGTGATTTCATTTGTTAGAAACATGCATATCATCACCTTCATCTCCTCGGGTACTGGGTGGTACTAAACATAGACATAGCTTCACAAAAAATGCAATCTTCCACAGAGCAACTGAGAGACAAACTGGAGGACATCAAGGTGGCTCCCAGGAGCCTGCCAATGGCAATGGGGGATGCCGTCCTGATTGATGAGGCTGGATCACTGGGTGTAGAGGGTCTTGGTCATCAGGGTCCAGTCCTAAAACTGCCACCAGCTGGTGTATCAGGCTGGTGATGGTGGCAAAGTCCTTGAAAAACTGCCTGTAGTAGGCCAGGCCCAGGAAGCTGTAGTCCTCCAACATTGTGGGGTACTGCGGCCATCTTTGCTGGGTTAGGTGGGTGACACCTTTTGGGATGAAGATGCAAACCAGCCTGGTGGATAGCACTGAAGATGTGCCTCAGGTTAGCCAGGTCACCCTCAAAGTCTGCATCATGGGCAAGGAGGTAATCTAATTTTACAAAGCATATACAGTATACTCTCCATAAGGTGCTTGAAGGTGGCCAATGCATTGCAGAGACTGAAAGGCATCAATTTGAACTGCCACAACTGCTGGAAAATGGAGAAGGTCTTGGGGTGTGACTCTGGTGTCAATTCCACCAGCCAGTAGCCGCTGCAAAGATTGAGGAAGCTCTTGCTCTTTCATTGTTCATGCCTCTTCAGTGGCTTGAAGGTGTGCAACGAGTCCTCTCATTGCTCGTTTTGTTGTCATCTTGCATCCCACTTGATACCAATGTAGCAGGCTCATGTTCGGGTCACAGAGGCAAGAACTCAAGCAGAGACGCTCTCATGAAAAACTTTGATTTTATTGTACAAAATCCATTCTTTCACAACAGCAACTGTGAACTACTGGAAAGAAACAAAGTGATGAACAGTATTACAAATGAATATACACAAAGTAACATCTGTGGTGATTTACAACACATATTGTCTATGTAGTAAACTTATGCCCATAAACACCCTGCTTCAGAGAATGCTGGGAAGCTCCACCTACCAACAATATTGTATTTAGCTGTTTAGACTGGATGACAAATTGGAGTCATGCATCCCTCTCGGTACGATCTTTAAATCTGATTGTGATGTGCATTTCTAATTGATGTTTGGTTTTAAACCATGGTTCTATTATATTTATATCTATTATGGTTTATGTAACCACTGACGGTATTTGGCGACGTCTTTACGTCCGGCATCTCTGCCACGTCATTCAGAAGTGCTCACCAAGCCAGGCGGAAACGGCAGCAGAAAACACCCACGCTGTTGTTCAAATTTACGATGTAGCCCAGCCTCATTCACAACTAGTAGGTTAGCTACCCGGTTGTTATCGTGCGTTACCTCAGTCTGAGAATTCACCTGGATCGTCTCTACCTGTGTGGCTACTTTATTGGTGAGTTGTCAAGATAGCTCGCTAGCTAGCTGCTTACCATGTCAGGCTATCCCCAAAGAAGTAGCACTAACTACGATTAATGTGACGTTACAGCTGCTGTGCTGGGTAGTTTGCTTGAGTGAAGGTGGCCTTATGAAGAAAGAAGCTTTAGCTTTACGTGGCCGTTGCTTAATCAGACCAACGATTTAAAACACTGGACGGTGTAACATTATATAATATAACATATTGGGATGGTCAACATGAGCACTTTGGTCAAATGTAACACAGGCTACTGCAGGGAAACACTGCCCTGTTGGTGCTTGCCATCCCCATTCACGCCCTCGTATTCTATTCACGTCATTTGTTGAGTGGGACATGACAGTAGGAATGTTTGTGTTTTGCTGCCATGGAAACCACAATTAAGACGCGTGTATCTCTACTAGCTTCATATAAAGCCACCATTGACAGCAGCACAAATAATGAATGGGCTGTTGTTGTATGGGCCTTTCTCATTTTGCATATCCTGAACTACATCATGGAAAGAAAACCAGGAAAGAGTACTAAAGATAAACAGTTATCACCTTATAGTGTGTTGTAAGAGGATGTGAATTATGATTAATTTGTGGGTGTGTTTGTGTGTATGCCAGTTGGCTTGTCACCGACTGACGCATGGCAAATGAATTAGTATTTGTCCGGCCAAAGTTCTGTGTGACTTAGAATAGACACATTTCCAGTCAAGGCTGACAGTATGAGTATATTAAGTCATTGTGCTGATGCAGTATCTCAAATGGAAGAATAAATTAGACTTTCTATTCAATGTGTTATACATTTAAGTATTTTAAGGGTGTGTATGTGTCTGTAGACTTACCTGTGTATGTGTGTGTGCGTGCTTTCCTTAAAGAGAGATTGTGGAATGCTGCTGGACGAGATTCCACTTTTTGAGCCCTCTCTGCTTCAGGAGCTAGATTGGAGCAGCAACACTGTCTCCTTCTCTCCTTCCATCTCCCCGTCCAGTCCAGGGGAAGGCCTGGTGCTGAGGCCGCTCTGTACAGCAGACTTCAATAGAGGTGAGTTAGGGATTTGATGGGTAATGTATTTCAGACAAGTACTTGTATGCTTAAGAAAATTACAATGTTACCACTATGTGAGCATGTGTTTTTTGTTCCTTGGTATCAAAGATGTAAAATGTTAGTAATGTAATAAAAATTTAAAACTATAAATATTCCCAGTTGTTTTCATCAACTGTTCTGATGTTTTTGTGCTCCAGGATTCTTCAAGGTTTTATCACAACTCACCCAGACTGGTGATATCACACCAGAGCAGTTCATGAGTAAGTTCGGCTTAACACAGTGCATCTTTGCCCTTTGAATTATTTTGTTCAGAACATTTACCATTCACACAATTTGAATATTTTAATTCCCTAAGTGCTCCCATGTTTTTAAAGTCATCTGCCTCTATAGATATCACATTTGGGAAGAGAATGAACTCTCATCCCAGAAAACAAACTCTAAATACATACCAATAGCAGATCAGTTACAATAAAAAAAAAAAAAAATGTATGTTGTCTGTTGGCTTTCAGAAAAGTTTGAGCATATGAAGACGACAGGAGACTACTATGTTATTGTGGTGGAGGACACAAATCTGGGACATATTGTTGCTACGGCCACACTGATCACAGAACACAAATTCATTCACTCCTGTGCTAAGGTAATTTTCATCTTAGCAGGCAATTTGTGTATATTTAATAATGGATACAATTGCAATTTCGATAGTTTCTCTCTACATTCTTCTTGAAGACCAATCCCATAGAGAAGTTACTTATTAATGTCATGGTTATTAGAAGGCTGGTAATCATTAAACAATTTATAGTTCAAAAGTCACATTTGAACATATTTTTTGAAAGGCTATTCAGATCAGATTTGCATTTTTACATTTATTCATATTTTTTGAGCTTGAAAATGGGTTGAAATCAAATGTCTGAAATGAAGACGGTGTCTGTTCCGTTTGTTTGTAGAGAGGCCGGGTGGAGGAGGTAGTAGTCAGTGACGTGTGCAGAGGAAAGCAGCTGGGCAAACTGTGAGTAAACCTGTGTAAGCCAGACATAAAGACATTTTGTTTTAGCTTGTTGCAATAATTAGGACTTTGTATTTCTACCCCAAATTGAGAAACTTGAGGAAAAACTTTGTGACTAAACTCATCCTTTTTTCTCTTTTCTCTGTCCCTGTAGGTTAGTTGCAACTCTTACTCTTCTCAGCAAAAAACTGAATTGCTATAAAATCACACTCGAATGTGCACCCAAAAATGTGGCTTTCTACCAAAAGTTTGGCTACGCCGCTTCAGATGAGACCTACATGCAGTGTCGATTCTTTGACTGAGGACAACAGCAGCTTTACACCCTTTTGGGGCAATGGACCTTATCTTTATACACACACTGACATCAGAACTTGCAGCGACAGAATGTCTGAAAAACTGGTAGAGCTGTGTGAGGATGAGTTTGGGGTTGTGACGCTGCTGAGTCGTTTCCGAACACTCATCCAGAAAATTTTAGTAAACATGAATGTATGTTGAAGCCCTCCACTCAGTCACACATCACCTTCCACCCCTTTGGTATCCATGCTACCTCACCAGGGTGGATCTCTGATATCATCTTCCTGACCATCTGCAGAGATGAATGTCAGATATCGCAAATGTAATGTCTTACACTGCTAATGCTTAATTTGCTGTGTACTGAGGAACATAAAAATATTTGACTACCATGCAACTGTTAAGTAAATACCGTTGCTTGGGAAAATAAGATGGTACCAAATTGAACTAAATGATAGAAGACTTACTGTAGATAATGATTCAGACATAGTATCACACATCTGTTGCATTGATCGTCAAGGACAAGTCACCAAAGAATGTCAACTTCTTTTTCTTTAAATGTGACAAGGAAATAACTTTTCTAAGACACTTTGGGTTTTATTGGGTTTCATTTTTTCTAATCAGTTAGTACAAAGTACATCTTTCTCTCTCAGAATACTTGTCTTTCGCTGACAGTAGTGCTACTGGATTACTGTGATGAAGGTTTGAATTCTACAAGGTATGAAGCATCAAGTCGAGACTGTTAAAATAAAAAACATCTCCAGTGAACAACAACAAAAAAACGTTTTATGTGGCAGTAGCAGGGAATTAACAGGTTTTTGAAGTTTTGTACTTGGTTGATCTTCACAATTGCTATTTGAAGAGAAACATTTTGTGATGGGAAATGGATAATGATTTTTGTAAACAATCTCTTATTTAAGCATTTGTAGTTAAGTTTTATAATTATGCTGTTATTCTGGAGAACAGGGGAACATATTTAATCTAATTTATTTCCAAATATCTAATAGTCAAATAAAATATTCTATGGTCTACAATATTGCTTGCTTGTATTTCTAATTGTGAAACAAATCTGAAAATGTACCACAAAGCAGATCCGTGTTATACCAAGAGAATCATTTGAGAGATTTGTTGAAGGTCAGTTGTACAAAATCCAGCGAACTCTACCACATTTTTACATGAATTCTAATTTCATTTCCATAGCTATGTCATCAGTGTTGTTATTGCCACTTTGTTTCAAAATGAATTCTTTGAGTTCAGCATTATAGGCAGACTCATTCTGACCCCAAAGATCATCACGTTAAGACAGTGAACTATAAGAGTGCATGTCAGTAGCTGTTTTTTTATTGTTAGTTACTGACATACACAGCAAGAGATCAGCATGAGATTTTCAATGTGCGATTAAAAACTGTAAATAATAACATTGAATAATAAGAATAATGTAAGGCAAAGCACAGCATTACATTATGATAAAGACACTGCTGAACAGGACTCAGTCAGACTTCTGTTTATTAAGCAGTGAGTTATTTTTCCATTCTTTACTATCCCACATTAAGCCTGATATTAGTCCTCAATCCTATTACTCCCAAAATAAAGGCATTAGCTATTCCTCTTCTTGTGTCCTCCACTGGGCGACATCCTGGCTACTTTCCCTTTTGCCGACTGCCCCCCTCTGGTCGTCTACACAAATTCAAGTATCGAAAGTGCATTATTGCAATACTGTCCCGCTGCAAATGCAAAATGCGTTAAATACTATAAAACTGCAAAAAATCTCCCATCAGTGCATCCAGTTCAAGAAAAAAAAAAAGTAGTTATCAAATTTGCCCGTTCCCCGTCAGTACTCCATGTCTCAGACATGAGTGGTCCCCATCCCACCCCCGTCCCTTCCCTTTAGAAAAAGTTCAAATATTTACATTTTTAATCCCATTAAAAATGTAAAAAACAAAATTGAGTGCACTGCGCCACAAGGCTAAATATAAGCAAAGCTCATCCGTTCTGTGCTGCTGTGACCTGCATTGCTCCAAAATCTTCGTCTTCCTCCAGGCTGCGCTTACGGCTTCCTGTTAAAGAAATGTGGATAAAAACAAAGAACAGCTGAACGTACTGCACACATCAGCACAAGCAAGTACGCTGTCATGACCCAGTGTGTTCAGTTCAAGAAGTTTGCAATCACTGGAATGAACATTATTTAACAGTTTAATAAGTGTCAACCCTTCTGGATTTAATAAGTTATCAAACTTTGATCACTTTAATTTCTGAGCTGGGTGAAGTCACCAGCATATAACAAATGTAGCTTTAAGTGAAATTATGAGCCAATTCTCGAGGGCTCCAAATATTTGAATATTAGTGTCTGTTTCTTTTAAATAGAAACATTCATAATGTTGAGAAAGATGAATGCAGTAAGTTATGAAATCATTCACAATGGGACTGACTCATTTGCTGATGGGGGCCTGATTTAAAGAAAAAAACTATCAACATAAAAAGGTGCTTTGTTCTTCTGCAGTAAGTCTGGCTGAGAAACATTAAGGCTCTGTGTTTCATTTTCTACTCAACAACAGCTTCAACCAAGTTCTCTCTTATGTTGATCTAGTAACAGAAAGGCATGATTGCACAGGACTTGGTACATTATGTACAAACCTGGCATCCCAGCTTGTAAGAAGGACCTGCCCAACTGCATCGGTGACATCATTTTAATGGTCAATTTGGCTAGGTAGATCGCTTCATACTCCTAGGAAACAGACATTCATTATTACAGCTCATGAGTTAAGTAGTTAACATCAGTAGCAGTAATGTATAGTCAACAACACATAGTATGTTGTTAGAAGTGCATTGTTCATATCTGACGTGTTTTAGAGGCTGACAGTCTGGCCTTCAGTCAGACACCACATTTAAATCCCAAACCTGGAAATTCTGTCATGGCTAATAACAGAATATCCTTATATCATATTTCATAAAGATACGAGTTTACCCTTGGTATTGATAAACAATGTGCTATCACAGGTGCACAAACACATGCTTGTCATATGACTGACACTACTCAAGAAGAAACTACATATCGTTATGTTGCTTGCAAGCTGGATGACCAAAGGGAGCCTAAATGTGCCCAACAAAAGCTGACTAAAATAGGACTGCAGAGATGGTGTGTTGAAGACAGAAAAATACTTTCTGCAGTATCCAGAAGCCAATCACTCAGAATTAGTATGCATAACAAGTCACCTTAACAAGCCTTTAAAAAAAAAAAAAAAAAAAAATTGTGCTGTCTTTCTTTGCAATCATGCATATAATCTGCTGCAATATTGTTTCATAACCCGTATTTCACAGTGCTTTTTTTATAAATACATATGAATGGTTTAGAGATCTAGATTTGTTTTGCTGCAGCTATTATTAACAGAGGCACATCCTTGCCTCTTAAAGGGGTAGGGCTCAAGACAGTATATTGTGCTGACTACCAGGTCAGTAGTTAATTTATTTACAGTAATGGAAACAAAATTACATGTTCACTATTGACTGGACTGTCATATTGATTAATCAGAATTCAAAGCCCCATGTCTCCAGTCGAACCTTACTTGTAGCTGATGCACAAAGCCCACATTGGGGTTGATGCAGAACCTCCTCTCCTGGACATGGCTGAATGCATCCCTATAGATTGAAGATGACAGAGGGTTACAACCACACCCTCTGAAACACTGACATACACCACTGCAAACTGTAACTACTGTATGTTATCAATCCAGTTGTAAATTGAAAAAACAAACAATGAACTTTTCTTTTAGATGATAATTTAACAAAATGTTCTAGCAATTATGCTGCAGTACATGTTTTATGATACCTGCATACTATCATACAATTTCTCTTATTTCGTTTTGTATATTATTGCATAAAGTAGACTCAAGATTTATGTGGAGGCATGGTGTACATGGTTGTCACATACTGTAGTGGTACAAAAGACAATGGAATGTGAAAATGGAATTTATTAGAAAAGTTAGATGTGTTTTCTACTGGGGTAAAACAGAAAGCAATACCTTGATGTGAGAGAAAAAACAAACAAAAAAAGTTACCTGTATTTCATTCCAAATGTTTCCATAAGGTATGCAATCACTAAGGCAGCACTAAAAGAAAGAATAAATAAAGGAGACAGTGTGTTTTACTCAAACAGCAGTACTTTGTGTAGGGCTCTGTCATGGCAATTAAGTACATAATGGGATTCAGTGCATTTAGTAAAATTAATGAATTAAATTAATGAAATCATGTAATATCAAAATGTCAAACAAATCTCACCTTCTTGATATCCCTGCATTACCATGAACCAGTACCTTTCCTAAAAGAGAAAGACAAGAGCTTGTTGATAAGACTTTTCCTACTTAACATTCTGATTATAAAAAATGGAGACTGGATGCATTCTTACCTCCTGTTGCTAAGCAGCTATCAATAAATTCCTTAGTCTGTTCAGAGGAAAATGAAATACAGTGTATCAGGCACAATGGAAATGCCAGATGTCTCATTTCAGTCAGGGAAAAGCTTGCCAAGAAGTACAAAGCCTACTTTGTAACTCACCGTAGGGAAAAATCGTATTATATTTTCCACTGGATTGTCAGCAATATCTAATACAAGGTATCTGCAAAGATGAACAACATTTAGCTCATGATTTAGCAAAAAAGGACTTGATCACATAAAACTAATTTTCACAAAATGCACAAAAATATCACTTTGGATCAAATATTTACTTGTATATTTACTTACCTAAATGTATGAGGGAAATTAGGTTTGATAAAATTGGCTTCAATGTCTTGTCGGACACACACAATATGTGTTATGCCCTGTCTCTCAAGAATTGGCAGCTGGGCAAAGAGAATGAAGAGAAGTAATATGAGCTATAGAAATATGAGCAGGAAATGTATTAGTTTCTCTGTGTCACTGTCCAAGTGCCAGTGATTATATTCTGTAAGAATTACCTTGCTTTTCATTGCAGCAGAGTAGGGACCTAAAAATAGTCCTGGTAATATCTCCTGGAAATTAAAGAGAGCAGGACAACAAATTAACAACACAAGCAGTAACAGTAAATAACGTTCAAATGAATCACCCAAACCTATATTACGTTAATTCACTCAGGATGACACAGTAAACCTCTTTATGAACATGATGTCTTTATTAGTGTACATGGCATTGTAGGGGTGCATTCGGCAGCCAAAAGCAGGTTGTATACACACCCAAGAGCTGTGTATCAAAGTCTGCACAGAAATTACATCTGTTCTAAAAAAAAAAAAAAAAAAATGAATATGACTTTCAGTACATGTAAGCTGTGACTCTAAAGATCAGATTCTCTAACTTGTAAACACCCAATCTCTGAATTAGAACTGAGCAATATGACTGCACTCTATTGGAACAGGAGCACATTACCTTATGCATTCGCCTGGAACTGCATTACATTGTTACTGGTAGAGAGTGTAGCTTACTTTTACCAATATTAACTCAGAGGCTCCTGTCAAATGTGGGGGGAATAAACCCTGGGAATCCAGATACTTGTTGTGTAAAGAACTACTGATATAATAATAAGGACATTCCACTGTCAAGATTAGCCTTCACACTACAGACACAACAGACTCGTCTTGCATACCTGCATTTCTCGTCTCATTGGATAAGCCCAGTCCTGTAAAGGGGGAATTTAAAAGGACGGTTAGACGCTGAGGGAAATCATGTTAAGTTGCTTAGTTGATGTGACAGCTGCTGGAGATATTCCTGCCACAAGACAGTGGGAGAAGTGAATACCAGTTAACTTTGTGTACATACGTGGCTAACTGTAGTGTTAGGAGGTTAGGCTACGCAGTGCTGCTTCAGTGAACAGCAGCGTTAGGAAAAACTCAGATGTATTCAAAAAAATACACAGGGATGTTTCACAGATGTGCTATGCCCCCCAAACACGCCCAATTCCTCTTGAGGAGATATTTTATCTGCCAGACCACAGGGCTGGAGTGGAGGTTAGCTCAGATTAGCCACACAGACACAGTGGACTTGTCGACTAACGCAGACTCACCAGAAGGTCCTCCTTGGTCGCGGGCAGAGACGGAAACTGAAGTTTGTTCTCCTCGTCCATTCTGCTGTCTGTTCGGGCACCGCCGGCCCGGCGTTACGCGCAGTATCGATGTTTATCGCGGCGGGGTTAGCTGGACAGTCGATGCAATTTGTTTTGAGGCTCCACATGCATGTCCGCCATGCTGTCCCCTGACAGATGTGTCACGTGACCCCGCGGCGGATGGTAAACGGGCGCGTGGAAAGAGAGGGCGAAGCAACGGCGACGTCTAGTGGACGATCTACGAAGCGCACGGCACTCAGTGCTCTTAATGGTAGGAGAGAGAGAGAGAGAGAGAGCCGTAACTCAGTAATGAAAGTTTTTAATGCCCAATTAAAATGAAATCTAACAAAGAAGTAAAATGGAATAAAAATTCCAAGTTTTCTTTTAACATATGCATTTGCTGTGTCATATTGAGATAGGTTTGGCAAATAACCTTCAGATAGAATATAGTTCCATTACTGACTCAGCGCTTGGTCACATGGATTTCCCTGTGCAGTAAGTCAATTCTATAATTATTTATTTATTTATTAATTTCTACCTGTTGGTGGGTTACATTTTAAAATGTGTTTTTATGATCGCACAGATTTCTACTGTGTGCCTATAAAAATGTTTGCGTAGATTTAAACCAATGTTTAAATCAGGTTTTCCCAGGCTCTCCTGCTCTGCTCTTCATCTTCACAGGAATACCGATTATACAACAACAACAGCAACACATACATAAAATAATAAATCTATAAATGCTACCAATTACATGTAGATTCTTTTAAGATAACATACATTAATTTCACCTTAATTAATACCAAACCCCTGTACATTGCTCAGCCCTAAATGGTGATGGTGTGCCTTTGAAGGGTGATGCATTCACTTACTGAGGAACTGACATGTATTTGAAAAGTGGTGCAATTGATTAGCATAGGAAAAAAAGTGAATGAACAAATATGCAATTGACCTGCAACCTGCAATGCAGACATGCCAATCTTTTGTTTGCATTTTCTGTAGCAGGTATGCATTTTGACATCAAAGTATGCCAGTATGATTGTCACTGTAAACTGTGAGTTCAATTGTGCACATGCAGTACTCAAGTCTAACAGCAGGGGCATCATCGTCTAGTCTGCTGAGCATGAGAAGAGGAGTTCAACCAATCATAGAGATGTGTTCAGTCCCTCGAATGTCAAGCATGGATAATTGTCAGATGTCAATCATTTTAACACACCGCAGAGCCACAGCAACAGAACAGAAACATTTCTGTCCCTCTGGTTTCCGCTCCTCACTCTGTCTGGCTGGTTCCTCAGGTGAGTGTGGGGCTTTACTTCCTCTGCAAAGGTAAATGGGCTGGGTTGGATGTGGAAAGTTGAAAATGGTGTATGCCGTTAACAGCCAAATCTGTCACCCTATTTAACGTTGATAATGTTAGCCTAACGTTACGTAATTTGCAAGAAAGCTAGCTACCAGTCATTCAAATTGGCAAAGTAATGCTAAGTTATACTGTCTCTGTGTCGCAGATTGTTAAAGGTGGCTTTTCATAGTAATGTACCACAGAAATAACGTTAGCTAGAAAGTTACCAGGAAGTGTGTGCACACGCACACGTGCCTTGCAGTTAAAATAAACATGACAACAGATGAGGGACTGACAAGTTCCTGTACCTGAAAATGAAATATGTCCATTTTTATTAAAAAGATTGAATGAAATTATTAGTTTGAAATGAAATATGAATCATGAAAACAAAGGTTTTAAGTATGACTTTCACTGTATAATATAGCTCAGTGCAGTTTTTAGAAAAACATGGTCAAAGTTCCAAAACTTGACATGAACTTATGTAGTAAGTGCAAGTCAGAAACCAGTGTTCAGCCTCCACTGAACTGTCACAATGTCATACTACTGCCATCTACATATGACCACAAACAGCTGACACGGACATGACACGTGTGCAAAGTGAAATCTTGTGCAGACCCATGTGAACTAAACGTTACACTATTATGGTACTCAAAATATTTTCCCAATTGGTTGACAGGTATGGAACATGTTTAGCCTAGCTTAACATAAAGACAGGAAAAAGGGGGAGACTAACCTTGCTCTGTCCAGTGTCATCCAAAAAATACTTTTAACAACACCTTTAAGAGTATTTAGGTGTAGTTTGACAAAAACTCAAAGTCCACATACACATGGGTGATGAGTATGTTGCTAGCTAGCTACAGCTAACATCTGTACAGTTGGCACAGTGTACAGTTGGCTGTAGCAACATTTTACAATGATGCTGTAGCTCCATGTGTGCGCAGGTATGTCAATCCCTGAGCTTAGTTCAGCTCAGACAACTGCAGGTTGTCCAAACACTGCATTAGTGGTGTTTGGCACTAATGTATGTAATCAGTTAATAAATACCATGGATGACCATAGCCTGATTTAATTTAAATGCAGATTACATTCATTATCAAACCACATGCTTTCACTGAACACTGTCATCTTTTTCTCTTTTCTTATCATATGAAATCTCTATTCCAATCTTTTACTTTTCTGACCTCATTTCACTCTCCCATCCATCTGAACTCAATAATCGCTTCAACAATGACTGATACTGATCTAAAACAGAGAGCTTGAGAATAATTTATAGATGCTTTGTTGGTCTGTCTTTGGTCTCTCAGATGTGTCATTTGTTTGTTGTGTGACAATGTAGCATTTCTGATTTTTGTTTACCATCTGGAGAGGACGGCACTTCTTTTCTCAGATCAGAGGAAGATGTAATCTAACAGCAGAAAAAGAAGTTTTAAAGAATGCCAAATACTTCTCCTTCGAGACTCTTTATCAGTCTGTTTAAAATCATAGGACTAGTTTCTCCCTGTGAGGTGGCTTCCCTGTAGTGCAGACATCCTGGTGACAATGGCTCTTTGATATTCAGTTGCTCCAGGCCGAATCATAATTTAGCAGCCATGCCAGATTGCTTTGGCAGAAATATAGTGGCAAGAGATGATGAGGGAAACAAAGCACGAGTTAGAGAGATTAACAAAATGATTGAGGAAAAAGATAAGCCAATAAAAAAAAGACAACTGCAGGAAGGGTTTTAGTGGCTGATTTAATTGCCAATTCAGACAAAGTACATCAGTTAGATGGTCACAAATTTATTTTCTTTTTTAAGTAGTGCAACAAAGATACCTCGCTAAATTTATCTTAAACTCCCAAGTATTTTTCTAAAACAGCTGGGCACTATAATATCATGCACATTTTTAGTGTATGTAAAATGAGTAAATTGTGCATTTGTCTATTTTCAGATACGGATAAAGTGTGCCAGTGAGTATTTGCGGTAGTAAAATAGTATGTGGGATAAACTGCATAATAATAAATAAACTGTGTAGCCCATGTTTGTGGTAATATAGTAAAAACCCATGATACTCACTTAAGTCTTAAATGGTATGGAGATAGATTTATCTCACAGTATGGTCTAAGTGTATCAGAGATAAGTCAAGCTTATGCCTTAAGTGATGGAGAGAGTGCTATGGGAATGTGCAGGCAAAAATCTGGTCCTGACAATAACTTTAAATGATAACTACGGCATATTAGAACTTCCTCTATTACTTGAAAATAGAATTACATATGTACAACTAAAAGCGAATCTGTGTTCATTATGCTACATCACCATCTATCCCTGATTGTGTGAAATAGCTCGAGTGCATAAATTAACAATTGCTGCTATATAAAGCTGTGTTGGACCTAAAATGATTCACAGGACTGTTGTTGGTGAATGTTTGCCTTTAAATTTAAATTTGATAAGTCTTCCTTGTTTTTTTTTTTTTTTTTACATAATCACAAGAGCAAGTACAGTTTTACAGGTAAAACAAACCAATGAACAACAAGCAAAACGCTACAAAATGGTTGAATATCAATTTATATCCACTGTAAGCAGAAATAGTATTAGGTGAATCCTCATTTTCTAGAACACTTAATGTTTCCCCACAAAGCAGAAGGAGCAGTATATATCTGCAGTGAGGTTGATGGGGTTATAGTCATTTTAGGTGCTGAGAGTTTAGACTTTTACAACTCATCCACAGGTTGTAGTCAACTGCAATAAAACGTCTTTGTCAATTTGAATGTTACAGACTCAACAAGACATTTCAGTGGGGATAATTAACAGATCCACATCCACATCCTAATGATGCCAGTATAAATGAATGGGATTCACAAACAATAGAATAAGTACATACTGTATGTCTACAACTGATATATTTCTCTATTTGTACTTGAGTCTCCACAGAAACTACAACACCTGTTAGAATTCTTTCTAATCAGGCCATAATGTCTATGCAAACTTTGTTGCCTCTGACTAGGGTCATGTGATATGCCATCATCATCATCACCACCACCACCAGACAATCATCATCTTATGAAATCTAAATTTCTAACATTACTCAATGGTGAGTAATGGTAGATTGTTATAGCTTGATGACACTTGGCAGAGTCTATTTTCTCATTGGTCCTCTACAGCACACCACAGTATAAAGTAGCTATGTATACAGCCGGTGGTATACCTACAATATATCCAGTCTATAAACAAATTCATTTTAATTTGTTCCCCATATACAGAAGTGCAGTCTACTGAGGTGGTGAAGTGTTTTCCTTCAGGTAGTATTCGTGCAGGAGGTTGACAGTATCAATATGATTAGTGGAGGAAACATTGGAAAAACTCAGCCTGTTTGTGTTTTTGAGCCTCAGTCAGACTGAGACTCAGGAGTTTTTGAGGAAATTGTAAACCAAAATTGCCAACTGAATGGTAAGTAGTTTTTTGTTCATGTTGTTTGTTAGCTAGTAACTGGCAGTGGCTTATACAGTGTAAGTGGCTGTGCTAATACAAACTCTGTCTCTCTTTACTGACAAGGTTTTGGTGACCATTGATGTGACGTCCCGTAGGCCTGTTTAAAAATAAAGGGCTGCATCCTGTATTGAATCAATATGGGACGCAATTTGTCCCCTATTTTCGTATACTTCATGTCCCCAAAGTGCTGTGAATAATGTAGGTAATGTCAAGTAAAACCTAACCAGTTAGATAGCCTTCAAGTGGATATAAGAAGTTTATCAATGAGCAGTAGATTGATGAGCTGTGAGCTGTGAAAAAATACAGCAGACAGCAGTACGGCGCTCAGGTGGTTCACCTGCT